CTGGCATGTTGTTAAGCAGCTTTTCAGGCTAATGAGGATTATCTTAGAGTGGTCAGTGTCAGAGTGTTGTAGTGATGCAATGAATGCGGTCTGCGTCGCTCTCGCGGTACAGTTATACCGCAGCGGTGTCGGGTTCGATTCCCGCTTGCACAATGCACCCAGCACGCACATTCCGGGCGCTCCTCGCGCGTTACACGCTCTATTATAGTGTAATAGCATTTCGTAATTTCTCCAATTTGAACCAATATAAAATCTTGATAACATAGCTGATGTAATAACAAACTTTACAGGGAGTTAGTTGCATTTAAACAAAATTGGTAGAGTCGAATGAAACGAAATGTTATGTGATGTAAATTCCAAAGATTTCCCACTTTCATTACTTTCTGACTCAACAGTTTAAAACTGCGAATATAAAATAATGAAAGCGTTAATAAAGGCGTGTTCTATGGAAACGCCGAGGTGTGAAAAAAAGCATTAAACGTTTTTAAAATGTAATAACAGTACCGACTGCTGTCTGGCAGATCGTTATTTCTTTATAGGTTTCCATATACACTCAACATCAAATAAACCGCACCTTCCGCGACGCGAACTTTAAAGATTTTCTTCTGACACAATCATGGTGCCCCAACAATATTGGTGTTATTTGAAAGCCCAATAAATATCCTTAAAGGAAAATACATTTAATTTCTAAATAAATGATTAACATTTACCATAAATGTGACTTGAAAATAGACCTCACTTTGGGCTCACCTCTGGGATCAATTAGACCAATTTTTATGGTTATAAAACCAAATAAAGATCTCACGTGTCCTCTTTAACAGATGGATAGCGATTAATCCCAACTTAACAGTTTTATAGTCATAAAAAATGGCTATAGCGTAACTACCTATTTTTTGAAGAATTGACTCTGGATCCTTGTAAAGACACATTTTTGGGGTAAAAACCTTTCCTTTAATGAAATGAAGTTTAGAACTAGGCTTTCAAATGGTACCAATGTTGGTGGGAAGTGGGGATGTATACGTTTGATAAGTGCTTGTCGCGGGAGGTGCGATTTATTTGATGCCGAGTGTAGTTGAGAGATGGCGCGGCTTTGAGAGCGACTGCAATGGCGCTGGGGGGACCACCCCCTACCGCCTATGTACCGCGCCTATGTGCCTCATACTTTTTACTAAAACCTCCGCCGCGAAAATGTAGCCGCGGGTGGAACATTGTACAGCTAGTTTCTTTTTTACGTTTTATCGCAACAATGCATGCAACACGCATTTAGAAAATTGGTTCGGAAAATTAAATGAAACATTTGTTAAGTTTGTCATACCTATTATTGCTATCTTACATTAATGGTCTTTACAAGATTTTTGTGTTAAAGTCGTTCAGGTATTCTAAAAATTCATGTGGCTATTTGAGAAAATGGAATTGCAAATTCACCTGAATCATGTAACAGCTTAAGTTTGCTGTCTAACCTAGACGATTTGATATTACATTTTGCATAGAGCGAGCGGCGGACGAAAACATAATCTACGAGACGCGGTATGCACAGAGGCCGGCCGGACGTGCTCTCTGGAAAATTGCACTTGATCCACGGCGCGTCTGCCTCGCCGCATTCTATTTCCGAGCCACAATGAGGATCATTTCGATTTTTAGCTGTGAATGCAGATTTATAGGGCTAAGAAATCCTTAATACACAGTGCAAAAATTTTTGTTCTACGACAAAAATTGACGAAGTTATGGCCAAATTACTAAAAAAGTTCACTGACCGCCCGGCGCGGGGACGATGACGTCATTATATCCGATCCGAACGCTGCCGGCGTACTGCGTGGATAGAAAATATTTTTTTCTAGCCAAATTATCAGTTTTAGAGAAAAACTTGTAATGACATTTATTCATCAGAATAAAGTAAGCTATCGATAGGTAATTTTTTAAAATGGAAATTGTGAAAAATAACGCAAAAAATCCATACGCTCATACGATTCAATGGCACGCAGAGACGCGATTGGGGTCTCCGCGGTGGTATATTTGGCGATTTATTCAAATAAAGTGTACATAAGTGTTGTTAGAGTCATATCTTCTTCCAAGTAAAATATAAAAATGTATAAGTATTAATTTATTTACTTCTAACAATTAAGTTACACTCACCCCAACCGCGTCTCCGCATTGCATCGAATCCTATGAAAATGTGGTTTTTGGACATAGCAATACTTATTTTTCACAATTTTTATTTTTAAAAATTACTGGTCGATAGGTTACTTTATTTTGAAGAATAAATGTTATTAAAAGTTTTTTTCTAAAACTGATAGTTTAGCCGGAAAAAAATATTTTCCATCCCATTAGTACGCCGGCTGCGCTCGATTCGGATATAATGACGTCACGCGGCCTTGCGTACGTTGACTTTTAGCGGCAAAAACGGTCTATGTTTATTACTTAATATCTTCGTAAGTAATGGTCCGATTTGGATAATTCAAAAAGATATATCTTTCTTATGTCTTAAAGATTAACGTAGATACTAGTTTTATTGAATTTTCTACAACAGTACTGATCCTCATTACTTACCCGCAATAGAATAACCTCGATAGGCCCCGACGAAATACGGCCCCTTGCTGTCCTTTTATGAGAGCGCAGGCAGCGTGCGCCAACGCTAACGGGTTAAGTTATTGCGTGATAGAATTTAGAATTGAAGTGCTTATTAGATCTCATGAAATCAAACTATTTGCTATCATCATTATGATAATATGCGCAGTGGTTTTTACCTTTGGTAGAGTCGGGTTTTTATAAATGCACTAAGATTTTTTATCCACAACGAGGTAGCTCTTGGCCTGCATCTCTCCTAATGGAAAGTGATGATCAACCCGAAGGTGCAAGCGAGCTTCTCCCGGAATCCTCAACCTCAACTGGCTATCTTACCTACTACCTACCTCCAACTGACCTACTACCTCCAAACTTAGGAAAGATGGTGGTAGCTAGCTAGACGGACTTAGAACAAGCCCTTTGTAGGGCCTTTTGTAATGCTTGTTCCAAGTCCACTATAGAACAAAATCGAAGTATTCCTCAAAGCGCACCTATTTCGAAGCGCACCTAGACTATTCCTCGAAAAGAAAAATCTGCCCCCACTAGTTACAAGAATTCAATAGTGTTACTGGTGGGCACAGTTCTAGCATGGTATGCAGTAGACGTAGACAGCAGGTACCCAGCTACCGCGCGCGTTAGTATGCGCCTGCGGTCAGTTTTTGCAGCGGTTGGAAACAATGCGCGCGCATTCCGCCACGACCCGTTAGGCGGTATCGCTGCGATCAACGCCGTCGACATCATCCACCGGCCCATTATCTAGATTAGTTCTTGAAAACTTATTATTATAATATTTTAGAAGTTAGGTATGTAATATTTTTGACTAATAACTTAATAACCATTTTGATTAAGGAGTCTTTTGTACAGTCCAAAGTGCAACCTTAATTATTTTAAAATAAATGCTGAACTAAATTTTAGTACCAAATGTGTACTAAAATTTTAGTACATATTTACAATTATATCTATCTTTTAGATAACGTTCTAAATTCGTTTCTGAACATTTTTATGAATACAAGAGTAATCACGACAGTATAATTGTTTACCTACGCTCTAAAGGGGACATGATAAATTAAGCGTTCGCTTCTTTCTCTTTACGGTTCTTGAAATAAACCAGCACTTTCTAATGAACAGACAATGTTGCTTTCAGTTAGTTGTCACGATTATTTCAAGATTTAATAGTTTATGGAACGACGTAATTTCTCTTACGAACATAAATCAAACGAACAGCTTTCTATGGATAAAGATGGGATGATAAAACTCTTCAAAACATGAGCAGTCGGCTCTATCTTGGCTTCGAGCCAGACCAAACAGGGTAAAAAGCAAGGGCGGCGGCGACGACCGCGCCCCAAAATAGCGGGCAAAGTCAAGGCGTGTACTTAGCCGATGCCCGCTAGCCACGACACGCGCCAGATCGCTCGATGGCCCGTGTACACGCATCCACCACCGGTGCACCAGCGCTGACAGAACACCTAGCTCGGCTAGACAGCGGCACACCCAGCTAGGCGTGTCGGGCCCCGCTCGTGTAATGAAACCGCAAACAACCTCATTTACGATGGCCATCGTAATTCTAATACCATTTTCCATGACGCAACCCCTAATCGAAATAACGCGAAAAATTCATGCCACATTTGAAAATGTTTATTCTGGCGGTGCTGCCACTCCTAATTAATTTTGTTTTATTTGCGTCTGTCAACAGCTCGACATTGGTCCCATGCTAATAGCCCGTTCATTTGTTTATATGGCGTGATAATGAGACCCTGAAAAATACCGAGCACATAAAACTGTAATATTGAATAGAATGAAATTTGAAACGTAGACAATGGCAAGGCGCATCACGTATACATATGGGGCACAATAGCGGTGCGCTGTCGGCTGACTCACTCCTGCTGAGACAGAACAAGGACGTCCTCAGCTAGCCGCTCTGTAGCCAATCGCAACATAAACATCGTTACTCCATATCCGTCAGCGCCGACCGCCATTGTGCCGCAACAAATTGCAGACATAATAGACTTCGCAACACTCCAACTTAGCGCTAGATGACACACTGATATTTTAAGGATAATAATAGCGTTGTGAAATTCTGTCGGCTTTGCCAGGTCACGCCCTTAATAGAGTCTTTTGAAAATTTAATTGCCTGCAGTTTATACCATTTTAAGCCAATTAAGGATAGTAGTAATACTTTTATTCGTGTGTCAGTGAAAAGTGGTTCGTGAGACACAAACGTGTTTCAAAACAAGAAGTACAAAAGTACTTCTGACCAAATTCTGCTATGACGAAGCGAGCTTTCTCAGAAGCATTGGGTCGTAGGATGCAGGATCACTGACAGTGGCAAGGAAATGCGCTTTTATTAACCTAAGCATTATGTCAAGAATAGATTTATCGCTTTCCCGTCGTAAAAGCGGCAACACTGAAATTCTATAACATGCTTTGTATTGTTGCAGATGACTTGAAGGCGGTGACAAAACGTCTGATCGCGCAGGCGAAGCGGCAGGGATCCGCCGACAATATCTCCATAATCGTGGTGTTCCTGAAGGAGCCCCGTAAAATAGCCGCAGACAACCGCCCGCCCATGGATCTTGGGTAAGCTGAATAGAACTGAACTCAACAATCTTATCTTTTGTTAGAATAATGTGCTGATTCTTTCGCACCTACCTAGGAATACATAAATGGACTCCTGTGGTAGACATACTGAGGCACAGGCTTTCATAAAAGTAATTAAGATGGGCTGAACCTGTAAACAATAAGTTTTTTTTTGCAATATCCCTTAAAGAATGTGGCGGTGTAAATTCGAATACGCGAAATATTTGGTTCTCATGGTCGTAGTCGAAAATAGAACTCATTACAGCTGACAACAAAAAAGTATAGAATATAAAATGTGTGACAATGTGACGATTGAAAAACATGTGGCTGCCGGAAATTAATGTAAGAATAGTCATTAAAAATAATATGGAAGAAAAGTCTGAAAGATTTACAGAAGTGTAAAAGTGATTCAGAATATCAGTAAGTAAAAATGGTACCAAAAACATTCTTTGTTTTTTTGACTTGACTGTAATGAGACCGCCCTGTATTTTTTCATAGAAATAAAAGTGACTTACATTTACGCACTTCGTGGCATTACCACGAATCACGTAATAGGCACGTTATCTTTATGAAAGCCTGATAATTTCGGCTATGTATTCTGCGTTATTAGTTTTGCTATCAGCTGCATTTAATGACGTATTTTTTTGACAGGGAATGAGAAATATTTTTTCAACTGAAATTGACGCTTGCCTAGTACGCAGGCATGCGTAGGTATTGTACTAAACAGGACAAGGCTTTGTTGACTACCAACCGGTTTCACTGCAGATAAAATAAAAGTGTCGTCATGCAAAATATCTTGTTCCAGTCGGCCTTGTGGCAGCACTCAAATATACAAAGTTTCATTCGAAACTTAGAATATACAAATTCATAATTATGTCAAAAAACCGGCCAAGTGCGTGTCGGACTTGCGCACCGAGGGTCCGTATAAACATGCCTAGGTATATAACTTTGATTTTGTTACTAAAAGTACTAAAGACCTGAGTTTTTGTATTTAATCAATACATTTCAAAACATTCAATTCCAGCTGGTAAGTAGTGCATAAATATTACAGCAGAATAATTGGCAATTGAATTAAATGTTTTGATTAGGGTTTAAATACTATTTTACCCGTCTATGTTAAACTAGTTTTATTTGTGATCATTTCGATTAAGTAATAACTACTTTATTCACTTTAAAGAGTTTTAAGTACCTACCTACATAAGTGATAACCTCTGCTCTTATACTGTTCGTTACTCACAAGTAACGATTATTAAATTGATAAGTTTATTAATCGGGAAATATGACTCAGACGACAGACAGTTTTAAAGCATTATTATTAAACAAAAAACAGACATTAATAAAATTCATAGATTAAAGCTTCTGCAATTAAGAATAAAAAAATATTGCCTCTGCAATATGATTCTTTATGAATAGCCGATTGAATTAATAAATTCCATTTGCTGAGCAAGACGACTACAGTTAAAACCTTGCTACCAGCTCATCAAATAATCGCAGCGGTAAATGATACGTTTGATGTTTATAAATACTCTTCACAAGTTGTAAATATTTCTCTTCTGGTTTTACAATCGAGGGAAAGTCATCGTCATCAACTACTACTTAAATTAATAACTTAAATAACAACAGGAGGGCTTGCAATACGATACTGTTCCTGTAAAATTGAGATCCTATCTAGACAGACAGTAAGCAACTCTAGATTTTTAAATTTTGATTGCCAATCTTATTGCCTAAAGAAATAACCAGTAGCAAAAAAGGTGGAGCCTTTAATGTTATAACTACGAAAGCTGTGAAAGTATTATATCGCCTCTCTACTCCTTTTTTTGGTGGATACCCAGCCTAATCGGGTTGTAGTCCGATTTTTTCGCTTGATTTACTGATGATGTATGGTTTATATTTATAATGAATGCACATGCACATGCATCGGACATAGGTCCGGCGAGAAAATTGACAGCAAAGAAAGACTAGACTAGATCCTAGACTGCATCTTACGTAGTAGGGTTTCTGATTTCTCGACCTATTTTTTTTCTCGAGTTTCGGGAATTCTCGAGGCGAAAGTCTCGAGTTTTCTCGGGTCTCGAGTCTTTAAATTAAAACTGTTGAAATCGGTTGAAATTTAATAAGAACACAGGTTTTTTAATCTAATATACCTACTTTAATGCACAACAATCAATATTAGAATTTAGTACCACTTATTTTGGTAAGAAAACAAACAAAAAATGAAATCTTCTCTCATAATTAATATTAACTAATAATCATCAATCAATCAATCAACTTAGTTATTAACTAAAGGAACAAAAGTCATAAAGTCGCGTGTACTTTAAGGATAAATAACATTAAAAAATCTGGAGCTACAATTGAATCACTTGTTTTCACTTCACACAAGTACAAATAGCAAAATTACGAAAAATAGTTTATTTTTATAAACAAAAAAACACTTTTTAATATTTTTTAAATTTCTTTAGAATAACGACTTGAATAAACTTTACGAGGAGGCAACGAGTACCTAACCTAACAGACAGTTAACAAATTTTTCGGTCTTTAAATCAGTCAGAGTTAAATATACATAATAAATAGGTATAGCATACTCGTAGGTAAACATTATTACTTAGTTTCGATTGAGATCATTAATTGCAAATCAAATCAGTTAAAAAAGGAAGACTAGGCCAGTCTAAAAGCAACGTTAACCTATTACATAATTAAAAACTTACTTTTGTCTAAAACAGGCTTTCAAGATTATTAAAGCTTCAAAATCGAAACTCGAGAATTCTCGAGCTCCGGTATTTTTTTTCTCGTCTCGAGTGAAGCCAAATTTCTCGAGTTTTCTTGAGTTCGAGAAGGCTCGAGCAGAAACCCCAAGCACCAGGTACGATTGTGGTCAAATACCTGCCTTGTCCAGCATAAAAGAAAAAAAGGATATCCGTTTTTTGACCGTCCGGTGAAAAAACTGATGTCTACAAACGGCCTAAGAGGTAGAAACAGCCACAGCTCTAACCCATTGCCATTGTACCGTAGGCTGGACAACGCGTTGGCGACCGCGCCACCGTTCGGCATGGAGCCGGAGGCGTGCAAGCGGCAGCTGGCCGCGTCCGGCGCGGACGGCGGCGAGTGCGCGGACGCCGAGCCGGACAACGGCGTGGACAACTCGGACAGCGATAGCGAGGACCTCGGGCCCGAGACCGCCGTCGACGCCGACGACGTGGACGCCGACAGGAACCACGACCCGGCGCCGCCGACTCCGCCAGCCGACACAAGTAAGTTATCTTTCACTGCTCTATACGTCATGTCACTTCACGCTGTGTTGTCACTAGGGTTGTCAGATCCTTTTGTTTAAAAAATGGGACATCAGTAAAAAGCCGGATGTGATGAAAAAATTGGGCCAAAAAAGGGATAAAATAATACTTTGGCTGGGCTGAAAATAGGGACATTTCCCCAAAAGCAGGACATGTAGCAACTCTAGTTACAGCTCACGTACCTACCTACCTATTATAGGTACTTTTTTCTTTTATGACTATGTTACAACAAGAAATGAAGTTTATACAAAGTTAACTCGGATATTACAGATGCAAGTTGTCGTAACGTAGCGAAAAACGTGTAAGTTTACGACGTAGTTGACTAGAGTTAGTACACTTACATTTTTAATTTACTGATAGAAGTAGTTTATTAATTTATCAAAGTTATCATTGTTATTATTAATTATTCATCGAATAGGTTCACTATTATTTGTAAGTCGATCTCGAGCTTTGAACAACCGTTGATCTTCATTAAGCCCCGTAGTAGAAAATAACTAAATACCATACATACAAGTAACAATTAAGTTGGCAACAGTGCTTTTAAAATCTAGATTAATAGTTTCTACTTAAAATAGCTATTCTCAATATGAAAGTAGCATAATTAAATACCCAATAGCTACGTACTTAAAGATTTAATGAGTATGCCATATAATGTAATTTTAGCTACATAAACTACTATAACTAGCTCGTACCTAATTAGCCGTTTTACAAGCGAAGTAAATAGCTGGCTTCTCTACCCGCTGTCGATGTCATGTCAATCTAGTGTCGATGGCTCGATGCCTCAAGGTATTCTTGCTGGCACATCCTACACTTTATTTATTTTTCTAAAAACCTAAGTAAAAAATAATTAAAATGCCTTAAAGTATCGTAAAATTTACGAAAATTTTAGGTAGGTAAAAGGTAGGTAGTTGAATTATTGGATTTTAAAGTATCATTAGTACAATTTTATCTATGTTTTAATAGTAATTATGATTATTTACCTTTAATTGGTTGAAATTATAATTGGTACTTACTTAATTTATTATTTTAATTGGATCAATAGGTAATATTTTGTATAAACTAATAATACGACTATAAACAACAGTTGTATTATTGATTTGGCAATTAAGTAGATGACGAAGTTAAAAAAAAAAAATTAACAAAAACAAAATGTGCCAGGTTTGAACCAGATTTGAAGGAGAGCAAAAGAAAAAGTAAAGAATGGGTCTCACTTCACTGCACTGCCGTCTTATCGATATTGTTACTCGCCTACATGCAGACCCGCGCTAGATCGGCGATTGTATGCAGATGGCGGCTGATCGCACTAATACATATTTATTTACTTTCTAATCAAATTATGAACAATTACTTTTATTAGTGCTGTTGTTGAACAATGCGCAACATTTGAAATTTTGATAATGTTAAGGGTCCACGGTAATTCCAGGTAATGTTAGATCAGAAATGAGGTTCTTCATTAGTGTCATACCTATAAGAATCTAATTGGTATCGTAGGTACCTAGGTAGGTAACCTAGGTAGGTAGGTTTAGCCCTATGTCATAGGGCTAATGACTGTAATACGGGTGGATCCATCTAGCCTACTTTGTGATGTTATTTACCTATATTATCTACTTAGATAGGTACCTACATACCTATATGGCTACTTAATAGTTTATTAGTAAGGATATCGCTTAGCTGGTTGGGAATATGTAAGCGTTAATTAATCAAATTAAGGCCTTATCTACCTAAGCACTGATGTAGGTACGTAGCCCTCTTCCTGCTTATCGTTCGATAACCTAATTTTAATCCTGACATAAAAAAAAACAAATACCTACCTCTAAGGTTTAATGATTTTAATTATTTTCATCAACCATGCAAAAGAGGGGTAGGTATAAATAAAACTGGGTTAAATCCCTATTGACCTACTTTATTTTTTATAGCAAAATATTCCAGAAAGGATAGCATTTTAGACAGCTTCCTACAAAATGAGTAATTTGTAGGGGCCATAAATTGATGTATTATAAAAAAAATTCATAAATCCTTTATTGACATGACATCCCGGGCTCGGTGCACGCGGGCGCCGCACGTCCCGCGCGGTCTCGCGCCCCCAGCGGCTGACGTCTCCTCCCGCCCCGACCCGTCTCGCGGGCAGTCGCTCATCGAACGCCCGCGTGATCTGTGCTGTGCTGCGCCGTCACTCCGCTATTGTAACCGGGCCTTTTGTCTACATTTTTACGGATCGAATATTACGCCGGCAGTGAAGATAATAATCTGTGTAGTGAAATTACCGTTTACGGTATGTGATTTTTAGCGAATGTGGTTGATTATTTTCACATTCCGAATAGTTTGTGAAAGGTTATTTCTGTGTTGATTCATGCGGAGCGGTGTTCTGGAAATAGATCGGTCGGCCTGAAGGCGCATCCCTCGGTGATTGGGGATTCTGAAGGTTTTACTTAGTAGAAATCTTGTGAAATTTTCGTCTGAGTATCGTCTCGGGCGTGTCTTCGCAGCCGTTCTCGAAATGGCGTCCGCGAATGTCTCGCGAATTTGAATTGGCGACCGGTAAATATTTATCGTTGGCCAGCACGCCGCATGTATTTCGCCGACAGATTACTAATCACGCCGTTGAGTTATTTACATAAACAAAGGTTTCCATCGGTCTAAGTAGGGTTAAGTTTTTTCCGTGCAAGGGTGTGTCACCTGTTGATACGCGAGAAGGGGTGGTTGCGTGATCGCCAGGTGTTCTTTGGTTATCGATGTGTAGTTACAGTGTAATGTTTGTGATGTGCAGTGGAGGAGGGCCACGTCGACGGCGCTCTTGTGGATAATGTAGCGGAGAGCGGCGAGGAATCAGAAGACGAGTGGAACTACTTCAAGGGCGAAGACGAACGCGAGGAGCACAACCCTAGCGAGGACGCCCCGCGCTCCGAGACACCTTGCCAGGACAATGTGAGTTGTGCACCTGTCACTAAACTACAATAATTTCACTAAAGAAGTATAAACATTTAACTGTCATCCTACCAAAAATGTCCTACACATCCCACATCCTTGTAACTTACATGGCAATAAAAACATCATCAATTATGTACAAAATACAAGAACAAAATGGCCCAAATATTCACTGCTAAATATTTTAGATCCCTGAACTCCTTGAGATTAAGAAAATCAGTAAATGCTAACAACTTCTTAGCAGTGACCTTAAAAATGAAATGAGTCATTCCAACAGACAGCTGCCCAGACAAGTTTTGCCACTCCCCTAACATATTAGTCAAAAAGTATTTGAAATGTGTAAATCAATACGTCGTGAGAGAATGTAACACCATTGATAAGCTTTTATTGCATGCTGATAACATTTTGATAATGGTTTTCTCTGAATACCTACTTCAAAATTATGTGACTGGATTGTATTGAATGTCGAAGTTTATTACAAGCTTAATATTTTTAGGCTTGGTATTACATAAATGCCATAAAATGTAGGTATATTGATTGATTTTCCAGTTAAAACAAAATGTTTACTTGTGGCAATCGTTAACATTTCATTTGTTTACAAGACCCAAGACAATAATTAACTTTTTCCAATAAGCATTTAATTAACAGATACTTCATGCAACTAATTGGAGCTACATTAGCCTTTCCAGTAGATTAGATTGCAACAATTCTAAATCAATATTTTTAGTCGTATGAGGTAAATTGTGCGCAATGAGTATAAAGTTCATCACTGTACAAAAATAATGTGTCTATTAATAAAATATAATGGAATGTGTTGATGTAATGTGTTGCAGAGTGACACATTCAGTCCCATTCCATATTTTTAAGTCGCTTATTAATCTAACTACTAAACTTAGTATGGAAACATCTATAAAAAACAAAAGTTTTATTAAACAGGTGTTTCTAGGTAATTCACAAAACAAGTTTTTAGATAACCCTTAACCGTAGTAAGGATTTGAATAAATATTAAATATATTCACAATATGTTAATCACAGATAAAAACACTATTACATCATGAATTTCCTTGGAGTTAAAACAGCCACACATAAAATACCTACTATTACAGGATTACAAATTGTACACTTTGTATCAATTATTTGCCACATAATGGGGATATTGTGATTAATACCAGGCAGAGGAATTCCCAGACTTTTTTATTTTCAAAGCTCGTTTATGTTTTACATGTATTGACAAGTATTTGTTTATGATTTCAGTCAGCTTGGGAAACCAGCTCAGTAGACATGAACAGCTCACCACTGAACCCAGACGCCCCGGTGTTCGTGCCGGGCTCTGTGGCCGGCAGTGATGTGCTGCTGGCGGAGTCCCCACGCAAGCCCCAGCCCATGGACGATATAGAACTCCCCGATCGTGCTCAATTCGAGACTGAAGCCGTTGTTCGGCCTGCGGAACTATTGGATTTGGATAACTGTGATCAACTTAACGGCCATCATGTAAGTATTTTATGTAAGCATAAATATGTGGGATGAAGGTCAAAGAGGTTTCTGATGATGCTTTTGTTTACTCATTCTTACATACATTTAAAATGTATAACTTTGTTTTCTAAAATGTGTTTTGGTTTTCAGAATGTATCATTAGATGAATCAATAAAGGAACAGATGAATGGGAACAATAAGTACAACATGGATAGTCTAGGATTTGGATTCAGTGTAGGCACGGAACCGGATAAGGTTACAGACGGTTTAATACAAGACTTTGATAGGATACAGAAGGACACTACTGACTTCTGCAATATACAGGTGTGTAAATCCTTTGATTTCATACAAAAGACATAATATAATGTAATTTTCAATTTATTGAAAAAGATTGAAGTTCTAGTTTTTATTAATTTTGTCTGATAATTTATTGATTATAATGTCTAAAACCAGTATAAATCATGTGTATTTTTTGCACAGGTATTCCAGGCACACACTGAAACAAATCCGTTTGCCACAGACGACAATGATGAACTTTTAGAAAGGCTGAAGAACAAAGAAAGGGATCCAATGAGTATGAGCTTCTATCAAGAAAAAGACGATGACACTTGCGAGAGGCTTCCCAAAGCTGTAGATTTAAATGCAGTCCAACCTTTACCAGACAGTGATGATGAAGATATTCAACCAAACGGTGTCTGCGACAATCTCATTGAAAACGAAAAAGAAAACATCAGTCCAGAACAACACAGCGACCTCCTCGGAGCGGCGGGCGACACCTTGGAGCCCAACAACGACATTATGAGGTTCGACGACAGAAAAGACATGTTAGGAAACAATTCGCCGCTGAACTTCGGCCAGACAGATAACTTCATGGATTACAACGACACCGCTAGCAATAACATGCAAAACTATTCCAATATCGAATTCGAATCCAGTAACGTTCCACAGGACACGGTGGCGCACACCGACACACCCGAATCTCACAAATTATTATTTGAACAAATACCAGAAATTCCAGACGGAAAGAGTTCCGAACTGGGCTTCACCGCCGACGACCTGTGCGACCAGACCGAGAGCGAGCGCGACGCGCGCCTGCTCACGCCGCACGACGACATGTCGCAGGACGCCGACACGGACAGCAAGCTGGACGACTCGCCCTGCCTGGAAGCTCCGTCCGACATCGTCCCCGACATTCAGGAAGGCCACATCGACGCCGATATCACGAGCCCATCGGAACTAACGGAGCCGGAGGCCCGACCGCTAGAGGATAAGGACGACGAAATCGTGCCCGAGACTGACGACATCGAACCGGAGTCGGACGACATCGTGCCGGAGTCGGATGCGATCGTGCCGGAAACGGATCTGATCGAGCACACGGACAGGCCGCCTGTCTCGCCCGCGCCCGCGCCCGCCTGCGACGTGCAGGTCGACGTGCACCACAGCGACGAGCCCGCGTCTGTAGTCCCCGACCACGCCCACGACACGCCCGACATCAGGATCGACGCCGACGACCTCACCGCGGACGCCGAGATCGACCGGGTGTGCGGCCGCCCGGCCGAGTCGCCCCTTCCCGCTGAGTCGCCGCTGCCGGCCGAGTCGCCGCTGCCGACCGAGTCGCCGCTGCCTTCCGAATCGCCGCTCCCGGCGCGGTCGCTCCCGACGGAGTCGCCGTTCCCGGCCGAGTCCCCGCTGCCGGCGCAGTCGCCGCTGCCGACGCGCTCGCCGCTGCCCGCACACTCGCCGCTGCCGAGCGAGCCGCCGCACGCCTCGCCCGCCGCCTCGCCGCTGCCCGTCGAGCCCGAGCCCGCGCGCTCGCCGCTGCCGGCCGACGAGCCCGCGCCCGTCGCCGAGTCCCCCCTTCCCGCGGAATCGCTCGCCCCGGCGAAATCGCCTCTTCTCGCGGAATCGCCCGCTCCCGCGAGATCACCTCTGCCCGAGGAGACGCAGTCCCCGCTTCCGACGGAGTCCCCCGCTCCCGTCGAGCCCCTCGCGCCCGTCGCCTCGCCGTCCCCGGCGCCGCCCGCGGAGTCCCCGGCGCCGCTCGAGTCCCCGGTGCCGATCGAATCTCCCGCGCCCGCGAAGTCACCGGCGCCCGCCGAGACGTTCGAACCGAGCGCGCCCGAGCCCGAGCCCGAGCTCGAAGCGGCGCCCTCCCCCGCGCCCGCCCCCGCGTGGGCGTCGCCGCTGCCCGCCGACGTGCCGCTGCCGCGCGAGTCGCCGCCGCCCGCCGACGAGCGCGCCCCCTCCCCGCGCTCCCTCCCCGTCGAGGCCTCGATGCCGAGGGACGCGCCCGAGCCCGAGCCCGCGCGCCCCGACCTCGTGCCCGGGGAGCCTCGCGCCGAGCTCGTCACCGACGTCGACGTCGGCGTGCCCGAGTCCCGCGCGCAGGAGATCTGCCTGCCCGTCACCTGCGAGATCCCGCCCGCCGACGCCGAGCACGCCGCCGCCGCGCCGCCCGCGCCCGCCGACCCCGCGCCGCCCGCGCTCGACATCCCGCCCGTCAGCGAGACGCCGATCGCCGCCGACGTGGCGCCCGTCGCCGCCGCCGCCGCCGTGGTGGCCGGCGCCGCGGCCGTCGCCGGGGTCGCCGCCGCGAAGGCGAAGACGCCCGCGAAGAAGTCCCCGACCACGCCGACCGCCAAGGCGACGCCGAGGGCCGCCTTTGATTTGTGGGTAACGGTGGGTAAGTATGTGAAGTGTCAATTTGACCAAACAAATTATTTGGGATATAATATTTGGCAACATAAAACATTTGCTATATAAACATTTGCCAAGTAAAATTTGGCGAAATGATAATTTGACCAAATGAATTAGTTGCGAAAAGTACAGTTGCTAAAAGTTCATTTGGGAAATGAAACTTTGACGATAAGTTGTTTGCGAAGTGAAATTTGGCGAAAAGTAATTTGGCCAAACGGAAGGATACCATTATTTTAATATAATTACGGTCTCTTTAAAATATTTATTCCCGATATCCCCACCAGTGGGGACTGTTAATTTTTCCCCGAAATCCACACTAGTTAATTAAAGTCAGCTCAGTGGGGCTTTTGGGAAAAAAGTATGGTGGGGATTTCGAGAATAAATCCTTAAAAAGTTTAGTACTTTACTAAAAAAATTGAGTAATATTAAAGAAGAGAAAAGACCACTCGTAACTCTTTTTATTCGATTTATTTATTGTTGACGAAACTCGTTTCCCTCCAGCCTGCGGCGCCGAAACCGCCCGCGGCCCACAAGCCGGCCGCGCCGCGACCCGCGCCCGCCGCCGCGCGGCCGCCGCCCATCACGAAGCCGCGCGAGCCGCGGCCGGCCCCCAAGGCGCCGGAGAGGAAGCTGGCCAACGGCGACGCCAAGGACGCCCGGCCCGCGCCCCGCGCGCCCGCGCGCCCCGCCCCGCGCCCCGCCGCGCCCCGCCCCGCCACCACCGCCGCCACCGCCAAGTGAGTTGATCGTCGTCGTCGTGTCAGCCGAAAGACGTCCACTGCTAAAGCCTGGTCCGTGAGCACGTAGAATTTTGTCCAATGACCCCAAGCTACACATCCTTATCGCTCGCGCGTAATTACGTTGCTGCCGCGCTCGCACACTCACTGCGCGCGCCCGTCGCACAGTCGCGACAGCGATATTACACGCGAGCGATAAGGATGGGTAGCTTGGGGTCATTGGACAAAATTCTACGTGCTCATGGACCAGGCTTTAGACAAAGGCCTACCCCAAGGATTTCCACAAAATCCGGTCCTGCGCCGCTCGCATCCAGTCTCCTCCCGCGACCTTTACCAGATCGTCGGTCCACCTAGGGCTGCCCACGCTCCGTCTTCCGGCTCGTGGTCGCCACTCAAGAACTTTCCTGCCAGCGGCCATCTTGACCCTCTTCGGCCATGTATCTCGGCGCAGTGATGACTCCATAGAGCGTCTCGTGGTGCATGGAAAAGTTGAGGGCACCAGACCACGTGGTAGATCAGCGATGAGATGGACGGACCGGATCAAGGCCGCAACTGAGTGTTCGGTTAGCGAAAGTGCCCGAAAAGCTGCAGTCCGCGAGGAATGGCGCCGTATTACGAGGAACATCACTCTGAATCGTGATTCAGAATGATGACCACGACCACTCTAACAAGGTGTACCGACTGAGAAGAATCCAAAAACGAAGCAGTTTCGTTTTGTAATCGAATTATTTATGGATCGAGACAATAGTCGATTCTGTGACTTTAACCCTCAATTTGCATGGTAGGTCCCAGGGACTCCATGTGAAACTGTTTTGTTTCATAATTTTTTTCAATATGCGAATAAAGTGCTGTGCGCTTGAGTAGCTTCCTTTGGTGTCGTGGCCAACTCGGGGGCGAGAGGTCGTACAGAAAGTTGAGTAATTGACACTTGCGGAGTCCCGTGGACTCCACCATACACTTTGCGTAACAAAAATTTTTATTATGATATTTTTTTTTTTTTAATTATGGTTTATTTACGGTTTGAGTGGATCAAAAAAGCATCAAACAGTCACAATACATGATTTATCAATACGTTAGATGGAAATGAGGCCTCAGATATGAGGGACTGGCAAGAAAGTCTAGAAGAAAATGCAGACGATGAAGAAAAAGAAGAGGATTTTACATCTTACGTCCCGAAAGATTTGTTTTGAAGAATTAAAAGAAAGACTGCTTATTTTGAAATTCATTTCACAAAAATATGCTTGTATTGTTCGAAAAAGTTTGGCAGGCAATGTGCTGCTCGTAGTAGTTACTAAGCCATTGCACGTTTTTTCGTGTTAATTTTCTTCTAACATTTTACATATTATTTATCAAGAAGACTGTTATGTCCACATAATTTAGAGAGAAAAAAAAATTTTGGGTAATTTTTTTTCTAAGTTTAAGAGGTACAAAATGCCTAAGCCTATGTCGATTTTTATGTGATTTTTACGACTTCGTGAAAATTTTATTTTTTAAATTAATTTTAATTATTGTTTCCATTTCTGTTGTTTCTAATTAATAGTATATTAACCATATTATGTTACCAAATAAAAAATATATTACTTTTATAAGTATTAGTATATTTTTTCTTCATTTGAAATATGGAGTCCCTGGGTCTCCACCTTACACTTAACGTAAGTTTTAGTCACCATGCAAACTGAGGGTTAATTTCACGTACGCGAAGCCGAGGGCACAGCTAGTAAAACAATAAATCAATTTTAACCATTTTGCAAAACCTGCAAATGAGAATTTGGTAGGACTAAGAAATAAAATACTACACAATTATTTGAAATAATTTCTATAATTTTTGCTTTTGTGCTATTGTAAATATAACGCATTCTTTCCTTAATTGTGTATGTGAATACCCAACTCATTATCGGTTAACTGTGTGTGAGATAAATAGAAAGAGCCGGAATTGTTTCTTTAATCTGCTTTTTTAATATTTAATTGTTTTTAATAAATGCTCTCGACCTGAATTTCTAACCTAAATTAAAGCCAGTGAACCGGACCTACATACGTGCGATATCACGCTTATCTACTGCAATATTGGTGTGAAAGTATCTCATTTATTAAACTGTTTTAGTGATGAAAAATACCGACGAACATCTAGAGCAGCGTTATTTATAAACGAAACGAGTAATAATTTTGTAAGTTTGAAATTATGAATACATTTTATAATCAGAAGGTTGCGTGTTCAAATCACGACTCACCACTATAACACCTTAGGACTCCACTTTAGCATCTCTGTATCCAGTTGGCAGCTGTGTAGTATGTGTATTATATCTGTGCCTATGGGTGTTACTTTACTCTATCAGAAGGTTTACTGTTTAATGAAAGTCCGAAGGTCACTGTAGAAATCGATGATCTCACAATGGGCAATACAATTACAATAGTGACTTGGTAGCGGGCTTACTCTATACTCTATGCGATGTAGGGCTCGTATGAAATACAATATTGCAAACTCAACGAAATACAATGTGTCCCAGTCCCTACATAATAAGCATTAATAACTAATACTCAATTTCGTTATTTCTAGGACGACGACGGCGCCGAAGCCCGCGACGCGAACGCCGGCCGCGCGGCCGCTCGACAAACAGACCAAGGACCTCGCCAACAAACGCATCACAGCCAAGGCCGCTCCCCCGAGGACCCAAGCAACTAAGGTAACCTAACTCGTGCTCTGTTTGTGCCTACTGAAAGGTCTTTAGAATGTAAGGGTTTTAAATTTACCATCTTCTCTTTAGATGACCCATTTTAGATAAAGAAAAGACTTATTTTGATTGACATCTGGCTCGAAGGACCAAATCTCACTGTGTTGGTATTCGCAGGTTCCCACCGGCAAGGCGGGCGCGGCCAAGGCCAAGCTGGCCAACGGCGACGCGCCCGCGAAGGCGCCGCCGAGCCCGCCGCTGGACAACGCGCTGCTGCCTGACGTCATCGCGTAGGCGCTATTCCGATTCCTATTATTTCCGCTTGAATTTTGTGATTTTCTATAAGTGTATGATAGTTTTAACGTCGCTCGGCGCGGCGAGTCGTTAGGTGCGGGAGGCTCCTCCCAGTTTTATATTATAGAGTCGCTTTTATAGACGTGTACGTTGCCGGTCGTGGGCCCGGGCCCGGATGGTTATTATTATCCATTGTCCTGATTATAAGTCTGTTTTAGAATTTTATATTACCAACGAATGATTGATTTAAAATCTGGCTTCTAATTTATTTTCTTTGTATAACCGTATTATTTAATAAAATGTGAGGAAGGACTGAGACATTGTTTTATTTATGAGGGTTTTTAAATTTTGATACGAAATAAAACTATACTGACGGCCGAAATAATGTTTACTTAATTCGTACTAGCTTACTTATGTCTATGTAAACTTAAATATCATGGTGTTACAAAGAAATACTAAAAATATAGCATTTTATTCGAATAAATGATTATCACCCTTTAAATTCGTGTCTTAATTTTAACGATCCATGTCTATATTTTTGTTTAAAGTGTTGCCAAATTCAATACTCGTAGTCTATGGTTGTCTTTAAAATTTAATCGGACAATATGTTGATACTAACGATAGCGCAGGTACAAAAACAGCATTGATAAAGCCCCGATACTGACGACAACCCACGACAACCCGACCTGGTGAATTGCGACTGCGAACCGAACTTTTACGGAGTAAATCTACAAATTGCAAAATTTTCGCAACATTTGCTCTCATCGATATGAATGTTTTTACTGTTATCCTATTTTAGATTAGCTCCATTTGTGCTATCGATTAGTATCGATACTATTGGTTGTTTTTTTCTATTCATTAGCTATCGAGTGGCAACATTCAAATGCGATGGTCCATGTGTGGGAAGCGCAGGTCAGTCCCGCGCAAGTTGTCGTCGATCCACTGCTGCGCCTGCTGCGTCATCTCCTCGTCGAAGTAGTCGCGCCAGCCGCCCGCCTTGCCTGGAAAGGAAGACGAGACTAATATGAATCATCAGCATCATTTCAGCCATAGGACGTCCACTGCTGAACATAGGCCTCTCCCAATGCTTTCCATGTTGATCGATTGGTAGCGGCCTGCGTCCAGCGCTTTAATATGATTAGACAACGAGTAAACACATTAACGCGCCCGTATTCACAAACATTACTATGAGGTCTCACAGTGCGCGTGGACGCACAGGGTCATAAACGAACCAATCACAGAGCTCTATTCAACGCTGTGCGTTTGATTTCCTGGTTCACTTAATTAAAACGAGGATCGTTTGTGAATATGAGCGTAAGCTTAGCAGCTAATGCTAAGCTTGATAAGATGCTAAATCTTATGCAGTTGTAACAGGATGTGGCATTGACAACAAGTGAATTCGCCTGGCTGTGGCTGCCAGTAAAACTTATTATGACGGTGTATGGGTATCCGCGCTCTAAGCAACCAAGAATGATCATATTATACCGGATTGGCTACGGCAGCCAGTCAACTGTACCATTACAATACAATAATACAATATTTACATAAGCGGATGTCTGCAGTTGAATGTACTTGACCAACTTTTAAATCGTGCCAAAAATGATAACAAGAGAAGTAGACAGTGTAAATTATATGCGGTTCACGAAACTTTTATCTTCCGTGTTGCTGCCAGTGAATTTCTAGCATTGTCCAGCGCCCTCTACCGGCGCTCTAATAACAAGTACAAGTTAGTTACAAATCATACTTATTGATTGCAATCAAGTAGTCTAGCTCATAATTATGCTCACGTGTAGATAATTATGGACAAACGTTAAGTCCCGATAAAAAACATATTACCAGAGCCGTAGTCAGCCAGAAACGTCAAACGTTTCAGTATTCGGCAGTTAGATCCTCGTTAACACCAGGAATTTATTTACCTTTTCTGATAAAAGCTTGTTCTCCAGGAATGAGAATGCCGAGCTCCTTCATGACGTCGTAGTTCACAGACTTGTTGTTCTTGAAGTTCTCAATGCTGAGATGGCTGCAGAGTTTATCCACCTCCTCGTCACTGAAGTTCTTGTTTAGGAACCTCGCGACACGACGCACGGCGGTTGGTAAGTCCTATAAATTAAATTTATTGTAGTTAAGTACCTTATCAACAGTGTTAACTAGGTACCCATTCCCAGTCATGTTGTCTCGTTCTATCGCAAGGAATCACCATTTGATGAGAGCGAGAGCAAAAACGGAAATGGGTAGTTAACACTGGCCGGTAGTAGACCGTCAATATTACTAGATCACAACATTAACTTCCTACTGACTGACATACACGTATTTATTCACTTTGTTCACTGACCTTGGAAAGTTCTTCGTAGAACAGGAATAGCATATGAGGATGATGTCTTTGTTCCCATGCTTCTTTCAGGTGTTCGAAATAGGGTGTCCAGTGATCTAAAACAGTAAATTCTTGTTAGTATAGTTAGCTACCACTGTCGACATACCATTTACCTACCTAATTGAACAAATCCTAGCTACTTAGCATTTCGAGTGTAAACCGGCTTTGCACTGCATTCCATTATTAATCTCTTGGTAATGAAACAAGACTTAGTATACGGAAAGATAAACTCACGCAAATCTTTAATGAAGAATTTCCAATAAGTTTTGAAGTCGCCGACATATCCTTGCGTCCTTATTAGTCTGTTTAGGTGATAGAAGGAAACGGCCACATCTCTTGGATCCCTGGCCACGTATACCACGCGCCCTGTATTGAGGAGATTGGGGGGTAGTAGGGACATAGGCAGGTGCGTTTTCACAAAACGCGGGGATGGCGCAAGGGCGAGCTGCTCCGTGCCAGGCTGCGTCACAATTTCTAGAAGTTCCAATTTCCTTTCACTTTGACTGTTCTCTTCTTTAAATCTCTCCTTCATTATTGGGTGAACGAATACTGAAAATCTAGACAAGAGTTTTGTTCATCAATTATATTAAGTTTATTCTGCTGTCAGCAACGCTTTTATGCCTAATTTTTTAATCAATTTGTTAATGTTGTGTTTCTTCTAAGGTGTCAATAAGGCGTGGGGTAAAAGACGAATATCTTAGCTATCTATTTAACCCCCGTGCCATTATTGTGTAGCGATAACAAATTATTACCTACATATTACTTTACTTGGATGGAATCCGTGCAAATTGGTGGGTTGTTAGACGAATTACACCTAAGTACCTATATCTTATTCTTGTACCTAGCCAAAGCCAATCATTTATTCCGCTCTATGTTAATGTAGGTAGAGTACCTATGGTTAGCAAATAATCGACTGATATTACACGCGCTTTGTGCCCTTCGGAGAGTGAATTGAGTAAGACTGGATAGAATTTCGTAATACCTACCTACTTACTTAATTCACTACGGCGCTACTAGTATACCTACTGTTAAAGGAATAAAATGCAATATCTACTGGCATTCTCAAATTAATACTCACTCTAAAAATGGATATCTCTCCGTTAAAGGTATAGCATCCGATGTGGCGTAATCTAGATCATTAGCAACCATCCAAACTAATTCTTGAGTCCACGTTGTTCCTGAAATCATAATGACTTTACTCTACCTGCATTTGTAAACGCACAGTAACACCACAATTTTAGTAACTTTCTATGAACTATGATTTGTCAAACTGGATGTAGTCTGCGATCATATCCTATAAGTGACGTGTCCTTTAAAAAAAGTTCAGAAGATTCTGCTAAGTTTCTTGTGCCAGTTTAGAAAATAAACTGTCAAATAATGAAAGCTACCGACCTGACCGAGGATAGCTTGCTATGAATATGTCCGTTGGTCTAAGTGGCATGTTGTAGATGTTAGCAGCTTCTTGTCTGTATTTATGAGGGAGGAAGTATCCTTTAGGCCCGACGCGCACGAAGCCAGTCAGTTCTCCTGCAATAAAAAAAACAGCTGTAGCGTAAAAACAAGAAGAAAACCATTCAAAATAAATGAGCAGAATTATTTGATAGGGTGGGCGCATGGGCGTTAGGTTTAATTTCTAGGTAGACAGTAATACGGAAAATACGTTGGGTAAATAATGTGACTGATGCAAAAGAATGTTTCCCTAGTGGACTACATAAGTAGCTATATGCAAGTGCATCATAAATATCTTGTTATTTTATGGTATGACTAGCTTTTGCCCGCAGCTTCACCCGCGTGAAATTTAGTTTGTTTACAGATCGTCATAAATTATAGCCTAGGTATATGTTATTCTTAAACTATAATACCGCAAAGTTTTAGTCAGTCAAAAATCCGTTTAGTAGTTTTTGCGTGTAAGAGTAACAAACATGTTAACATCCAGACATCCATACAAACTTTCGCATTTATAATATTAGTAGGATGGTAACAAAAACATTCGTAAACTTTACTTGCTTGACCTTTTACAAGAATTGGATGATGGAGGTCACCGTGAGTGGGTATCCTCCAATGAAGAGGATACTCACCTTAAAATTTCAATCAGATGTTGTTGGTTCATGACATTGAACTAATGTTATTATGTGGTAGAGTCATACATTCACGCAAAAAATACACGTTAGGTAGTCACTTAAAATGGGCCTTCGTCTGAATAACTTCTTAAAGTATGAAAAAACAGTATGTCGTTCATTCTTCCTTCGCGTATAAAGTAAGTTTTCTTTATAAACACAGTGTATGTAATAGGTACATCTAAGTTCCACAACTTAACATAGTGCAATCTTTGTTGTTGTTTACGTAAGCTTACAATATCATATCACAGTGCATATATTAATATCAACCTGAACAGGCCTATTCTATTTTAAGAAAAAAAATGAGAGCTGATAAGTTATTTAAAACAAATTTTATCTCAAAAGCTTTATTGCCAATTACTTAGGTCGAACAGAGTCGGTCGAGTTCCTGGTTAGGCACAAAAAGAAACCTTGAAAATCACCTATTTACTTCCTTAGTTTGATCGATAAAATAAAATAAGTAAGTTTGAATCATTGTTTTGTTTATTTTTTATGTAATCAAATAATTGGTTGGTATTCGAAGTAATTACAATGCAGCAATGTAATAATAGTATTTTTAATAAAGGGTTTTTATCCACACCTATACCTACTTTCATATCTTTTTTGCAATAGGTAGGACCAACTGCATACTTTGCACTTTATCGTGGTATTATCAATCATTCATTTGTAATCAGGTGACCTGCTGTATGTGTCAATGACTGGAACGATAAGTGACATGGGTGAGGTACAGTGGGTGAGGTGCGCTAATAAATAGCACTAGGTATGAATGTATGAAGTACCTATAATTTGTAATTTAGAGCTAACGTATGTGCTCGTTTTTAACATGATATAAAGAATTTACAATACTCAGTAGTTTACTTTTTTACTCCTGTACGGCTAGCACAAAAAACTTTCGAGTTCAAATCGTTTGCGTACTCGAATCGCCATCAAAAGATTTAGTAAGAAAACTACAACAGCGCCCTCGTGAACGTGTCGTAAAGTAAACTTAGTATGAGATGTGGTTGCAAGAAACTTATTTTGAGAATAAAAATTGTCACGTTATCGTTTAATTCGAAGATTGAATATCGAATTTTATCGAATACGCAAACGATTCGAAGACGAAAGTGGTTCATGCTAGAGGTACTGAACTTAGGATGAGTAATAGATGAATTCATTCGGATAAGGGTACATAAATACCTACAACGATTCTTGCTTTACTATTTACGAAGGTTTAAAGGAAGTCAAAGTAAACATTATCTAAGTACCTACTATGTAGTACCAGTATTACTAGTAGTATCTATTTGTGGTAGGGACTACTTTACTACGACAAACGTGTAATTTAGTCATCACACATGTTTATCTCGACTGCACTGTAATAATGTGTTGAGTACAGTAGAAGTATCGTACATACTCTACATAATTCATATTCATTCATAAGGCCACCGTTTAAGTATCTATTACTTAGTTCAATTAAATGAGACTGCACTAAGGCTTGGTTGCACCATCTTACTTTAACTTTGACAAACATCTGTCAAACTCCATACAAAAAGCACCGGTTATCGTCATAGTTACTGTCAAATTAAGATAGTGCAACCCACCCTTACTTAGTTAGTATCCTGTCGTATTATGTCGAGTATCTATATCTACGAGTATGTAGAGCTAAAGGTGTGTTGACTGTTTTTTTATTACGGTTTCATTTAACTGAAATAATCTATTACAAATTCAAAGGTTGATAAAGTGTATTACAAATGCAATTCCAATAAAAGCTACCCAATAAGTAAGTAAAAGATATTTTTATTCCCAAAAAAACATTTAACCCGCTTTATAGGATTCGAACTCGCGACTTTTGGCATAATCACTCTTTCTCATTTCGCTTTCGCGGATATTTTCTTCTTGTAAACTGAATGGTGTGATAATTTCACAGGCTTTCAACTAAATTCATTGTATTTATTTATTTTATTTTTTTATTGTTATCTAGATATTTTTAATTTGGCGTTTGTAGTGACCACTACCTACCATATTTAGCGATTTTGGAGATACTCATTTCAAGTATTTAAACCCCTGGGAATCCATTATCTTTCACGCAGCGAATTTTTTTTGTGCATTCAACAATAGACTGCAAACTCGTCACGGAAACTATTTATAAAAGCAATCACGATGTCGATAACTTTGCAAAAATTAAATAACCAAAATATTAAACCAGGAAGTTGTTTAAGTTTGAAATACGTGAACGATTTGCATACCTATTTTGTTCATCCTCAGAACTTCATATATTGTGCATTAATTTATGCAAGAGCAATTTTATTAATGCTAATCCCTTCCTACAACCACATCTAGAGAGATAACCTGTTTACTATACTATCGTTGTTATTTATTGTAAGATAACAATATAATTATGTTGATCTATCAATTCGACGTCCCGAATGGTAGGTAGGTACTACTTACTTCAGAATGTTTAGCCTAGGCGCAGACCACCGAATTTTTGTTGGCCGATAGTTTAGTCGGGCAGTTAATCAGTATGGGCATGTATGGAAGTGCGCACATTACACCGATTTGGTATCGCCCGATTCTTCATACAAATTGAGATCGGGCCCAACTATCGGCCAACTAAAAATCGGTGGTCTTGACTCTATGTAGAAAAGGGAACTCTCACCTAAAACTGCAGTTTACTTATTCAATCGAATATACTTTCAGGAAAAGGCCCTGACAAACTATTTAAAACCAGGTGGTGGCTCATTGTCGTACCATAATAATATCACAAATGAAATATTGCAATTATGTTATTCGATTATTTGTCGCAACATAATTAAAACATTCTTTGCCAGCTTATTCAAGTAGACCAATTTATTTAAATCGTATTGTTGCCATTTAAGGTTAACGAAAGTTACGACCTTAATACTTACTGATAAAATATTGTTACTGATATAACACTTTTGTTTGCCTTACTACCACCTACTACTAAAATTATTTTTACTGCTGTTTTTTCTCAGCTAAAATATGCTTAGAAGTGTAGTAGAATGCTTAAAATATGTTTAGAGATGACAATTAAGGGGGCGTCCATAAATTACGTGAGGCTTTTAGGGGGGGGGGAGGGGGTCAACAAAAACCTCACCAAATCTCACGTGGGGGAGAGGGGGGGTCTCGGGAAATATCACGTATTTTTTTCCACAAGAAATAGAGAAATAGAGTTTGCCAGAAAACTGGGTTAAATCTTAAGTAAAAAAATTGGCCAAGTGCGTGTCGTGCCACGCGCAGTGTAGGGTTCCGTAGTTGTCCGTCGTTATCACAATATATTTCAGAAGTAAGCAATTACTTCATCTAAAGTCACTTTTAATATTTTCTTCTAAGGAATTTTTATTAGGTATGAAATTTTATAATACATGAGTAAAACGACTATTACTCTTGAACTAACTGGTCTATTTTAACCACTATAGTTTTCCTTAAAAGTTCATAAAAGGCACTATAATCTTGAATTTTTCCTGATTTATCAAGCCAACAGTTTAGTTTTTAGCGGGGGGGATGCCCTACTCGGACAAAAATTGGCACTTTAAACTTTAACATTTTGCAAACGGATCCCTAAATCGAAAAATGGTCTTAGAAACCCCTAAGCCATTTTAAAAGACCTATCCAACGATATCCCACATGATGGGGTAGAAGACGAAAAAAAAAATCATCCCCACTTTACATGTAGGGGAGCTACCCTAAAAATTTTTTTTTTTTAATTTTATTCTACCGTTTTGTCGGCGTGATTAATATACATACCTCTACAAAATTACAGCTCCCTAGTGCCAATAGTTTCCAAGCAAAACCTCGGACAGACAGACAGCCAGACATATCGAAACTATATTAAGGGTTCCTTGTCAGCAGGACTAAAAAATGATATTTGTATGATGATAATGTCATTTAATTCTATACAGTCTAAACAAATAAAACTAAAAATGCTTCCGTCTGCATGTGTGAATACTAAAATGCAGAATAAATGACGAAATTAAGAAAATTATAAAACAAGTTCTTTTATCAAAATCAAATCAAATTTTATCAAAATCGATTTTGCTAGATTATTAGTGATTTTGTAGAAAGGAACAATTAGACTAGGTACTTCTGTAAAAAAACAATGTGACCCTAGTACTAACCGCTGTCACTACACGTGTTTTTCTGGATCTATTCGTAATCATTGGGCTTAGTGCGACTTTACACAATCGTCATCCGCTAGCGACTGTGTAAAAAATGACATACATTAAATGTATGATGATTGTACAGCGTCCCTAGCAGATACTTTCAAGAACTTAAATCTTTAACTTTATAGATCTTTTTGATGCACTCGTTAGCGACAACGTTAAAGCACACAAAAAAAATTTTCTCAGTTATATTACTCCTAAACTATTAAATTTCGGATTTTTTTTAATATCACGTGAGATTTGGGGGTGGGGGAGGGGGTCAGGCAAAATCTCACCAAATCTCACCAAGGGGGGCGGGGGGGTTGAAAAATAGCCAAAATTGTCTCACGTAATTTATGGACGCCCCCTAATTGGTAACAGGCTAGTAGAAGGTTTAAGTCTCTAATTTATATTTTGTAATTATTTTATTTTCAAATTCCACCAGAAAGCTTGCACCCATAACATAAGCTTATCAGTTGCTTTTTGGGGATACTTAACTGGCGTCAACATTGTCCTAAGATTTATTATTTATTATAAATCTTTCGCTTGTTATTTTAAATTTCATAAGAAGTTCACATGGACCAAACTTCCAAACAATTTTAATCTGAAATCTAAAGTTTAAAATATACCCAAATTAAAGTCACATTCATTTGTTTTACGAATTTAAAGTTAGTATGTGTTAGAAAAAAGGTGAAAGCTTAATCGTTCTTCCATCGTGTTACTTTGATGACCCCCAAATGCGCTTATCGAAGGCACAATTTATACTTATTTGTTACCGTGACATACATGTAATTTAATTTATCAGTTTGTGTCGAAATCGCAACAAAAACGCAATTGTGAACTTTCATTGCAGCATTTTTATACATAATAATATTATGTATATTAAAGAGTTAGAGTGAGAACCAACTAAGTAATAATTTCATGTTCTAGACAGGTCATAATTTTTCAGATTTTTTTAATAGTTTGTTCTTCATTTCAGGTCAGCTTTTCATCATTTTTGATCAAGTAGTTTGTTCTTATTTTTATAACACAGACTAAATTAAATTGACTTACCTGTGAAATACTTCATCAAATGTTCTGCTTGTTCAGGTTCTACATCCTCCATTTTGAGGGGGAAGTTGTTGTTTTGTGTCACGTCCATGTTTACACGGCCCTTGGTGCGATTTGTTTACGAGAACGCGAACTGTGCCAGTATTCTGCAGTGAAAGTGCGCGCACGCAGAAGTGTAGGCGAGCGCGCGGCTACGAGACTCAACGCACAATAACAATCAGAGACGTTGACTTATTCCCTTATTTAACAGACAGTTTCATTTGTGAAGGCAATCGCAAGTTCGTTACACCTGTCTGTCCGGGCTGATTTCGCTTAATGACCTTATGGGTGCATATTGACTTAGTGTAGAGCAGTAAAGCTGGTAATGTAGGACAACATAAGGAAATAAAGGACACAAACTTACTTATATACCTACTTAGTTACTTACTAAGGGTTTTGTGGGCAGATACAACAGAATCCTATACAATTAAAATGAAATCTTATAAATCCTTGAAATTAATGTATGTAGGCTGCCGCTCTACAACCACTTTCACTGCATCAGAATGACAGATCGCGAAATGAAATTCGACTTTCATTAAAAAACTAATAGTATTAGGTACCTAATACATAATTTACTTAACAACAAAATGTTAACTGACAGAGAATGCTTACGGCATTGAGTTTGCCTTTTAATATCCATTATAAATTTATTTTAAGTACAGAACTGTTTTACGTTCGTACATTGCGTTGCTCTACTTTTCGGAGCACACTTACACATTTGGGATTGGGGCATTTTAAGTTCTGTTATCTTCGATATACATAATTATTTCATATTATTTACTTGATAAACCCATTATTGTTAATATTTTATTTTTGTCCGAAACCTGCTAATTCGATGTCTTGACTTGTGACCGAATATTAATTTTACAAGACAACTTTTGTTGCTTAATATTTTTTGTGTATTATCTGATCCCAAAGTGCTACAGGAGATTTTCAGTCTGCGATTAAGTCACACTTAAGTACTTTACCTTTTTAATAAAGCCTCTCAGTGTTCTTTGTGCTTTCTGCAAATTGTTGTTTACATTAAGCTGCGCCTAGATCTACTACCCACACAGTAGACGCACAGTCTCGTTTTCGTTTGCCTGTAATAAAATTTCAGGCTTAAGTACTTAGATACGTGCGCGTTGCCAAATCAGCAAAGTAAGATACAAATAATACATAGGAGTATCAAAAAATATAACACTTTCGACTCTACATTATTTGTCTCTACTGATCCTAAATAAAATCTTGACATTGATTTTCTGTTTTATACTTTGTAGGAGGAATACCTAAATGGATTTATAAAATGTTGATGATGATTTAATGGTTACAACACCCGCTGTGGCAGAAAGTATACCAAATTTCGTCAGTCTTTAGTTATCAAACGTGTGACATAGACTTTAAAAGTTACCTAGGTTCATAGTTATACATATTTTATTCATTTATTACTTCCGTAAATAGAGCTCAGATTCCGCGAAACAAAAATTACAACTGCATAATTTAAATGAGTATTATAATATATTTTCAGTTAAGTGATATTATTTCATAATTAATAATCCAGAATCGTTTATTTGTTATAGGATGCTAAATCACTATCAGTTATAGTCGGGAAGCGCAGGTCGGTCCCGCGCAGGTTGTCGGCGATCCACCGCTGCGCCTGCGCCGCCATCTGCTCGTCGAAGTGCTCGCGCCAGTCGCCAGATTTGCCTAGTTCATAAAGGAAGGGTAAGTTTGATTATTCCTTTAACATAATACAAATTATCATCAGAATAATATGCCAAGATAATCTTTATTTTAACTGTCAATCCACTAACCTTTTCTAACAAATGTTCTATCTTTTTTAGTTATCCACCCGAGATCCCTTAAGACGTCGAAGTTAAGCATTGGGTTTTTCTTGAAGTTATCGAATTTGAGGCGGTCACATAGACGAGACACCTGCTCGTCAGTCATAGTCTTGCCTAGGAATTCGGCAACTTGTCGAACTGCCTTCGGCAAATCCTTGAAACATATAAGTAAAGTACATACTGTAATATTTAAAAAAAACATGAGGTTGAAGAAGTAATAAGTAGACCATAATAAAAAATAATTAACGTTCACATTTATGTTATTCCTTCAACAGGTATTACCTTCAACATATCCTCATAAAAGAGAAACAGTAAGTTAGGGTGATTCCTTTGCTCCCAAGCTTCTATCACGTGCGGGAAGAACGGAGTCCAATCGACTGTAAAAAAAATAACTTAAGTGCTTAGCTTTCATTGGTTTATTTATTTTATTCATTTCCGTCAGTTTTCAGTTCAAACTAAGTATAGAACTTTTAGGAATGGTGATGAAAATGTAGGACAAACAAAAAATAACGTTTGCTCAGGTCTGTTTTGAAACTTTGATATGCGATAGGTTTAAATATTCTTTATATTAATTATTGGCGTGTTGTAGTTTGTCAGACAGATAATTAATTCCCTATCAGAGATTATATCTGCATTGCAGTTGTGATACAGGCTGATCAGATATTTAGGATAAGACTAACTAAACATGATTTGTGTAAATTTTTTGCCTTCTATTAGTATTACACTTCTATAAGCATAACTATAAGCATGTCGAGGCAGCCTTTAAATAAGGCAACACCATGTACCTACCTAATGTTTAATTTATTATATAAAATCATTATATTAGATAAGATGTATGCTTTGTTGGTTGTCCTTCAAATAAATAAAGAAAGTTTTTAATCTCACTTTTGTCCTGAATGAAGAACTCCCAATACTGTTTGAAGTCGCCGGTGTAGCCCATGAAATCGAAGAGTTTGTTGTGGTGGTAGTAGGACACCGCGGCATCGCGAGGGTCGCGCGCCACGTACACCACCTTGGCGGTGTCCAGCAGGTTAGGAGGCAGCAGTGAAAAGGGCAAGTGCGACTTGATGAACCGAGGCGAAGGCAGCTTCGCCACAAACTCGGTGCCAGGAGTAGTCACGTTCTCTATAATTTTTAACAACCGCTCGTCTCCTTTCACGAAGTCTTTCATAAAGTTCTTCGTTATGTCGCTATTTATTATCATGAACATTCTGAAGATAAAACACCCGATTACATTACATAGACCAGACATTATAATCAATATTACAGTTTCCCTGTTGTAAAATTACTTACTCTAGAAATGGGAACCGTTCATGAAGCGGCATAGAATCAGATTTTTCGTAGTCTAAATTGTTTGCCACCATCCAAACAAGTTCCTGCGTCCAAGTCGTTCCTATATAAACATAATAAAACTTCAAATTTAATTTGAAACGAGCATGTGAGTAATTTTTTTCTACAATGCAGACATAAAATTTTAAATATAATTTAGTATAAAAATCAGTAAAATTTGTAAACTTTTTTTTTTTTTTAATGAAATCGTTAAAATACTAAAAGCAAAGGGAAGTAGCTACGTATAAAGGCAGATAATATGTATAGTAACCTGATTTAGGGAACGTGACCACAAAAGTATCGTCAGGTCGTATTGGCATGTTATAAATATTTTTAATATCTACTTTAATACCGTTGGTGAAAAAATATCCCTTTGGGCCGACTCGCATGAATCCATTTTGATACCCTGAAATTAAAAACCGAAAAAGCAGTGATTATGAAGTAAAAATCATCTTTACCTACACATGTACTACTTACTAGGTAACTATTATGGGTCTTTTTAAGTGTTTCACACCATGTGTGATTCGGCCAGGTGCGAACCGCTCTTAAGTGGTCTTTCACACTTTTTTGTCATAGGTTGATAAAAAAAAAACATATATTACTTTTGCACCTACTACATACATGCACCTCTTTCCAAAGCCTAGTGCGAAAAGCTCCATTCAATAAGTTTCTGGGCAATTCACACCGCGGAATCACTCGTGGTAGGAAACGCCTTAGACCCGGAAGTATTACCTGAATAAATACATACTGCAAGAACCTATTCAAAAGACATTTACCTACCTAAATAGGTATTTCATATAAATAATATAAAACGATACAAAAATAATAAAAACATACCTTTGAAAAAGTGTTTATGTATTTCATCTGCTTCTTCTGGATCTAGGTCTTTCATTTCAAACGGAAAGTTATTGCTTGAAGTAGTCATTTTAGCAGAATAATTAGTTGAATTCCTTGATACCCCGGTAGTGGGAGTCTTATTAACCGAATGGTGTCTATCGTATCAATAACACAAAGTGTCGTCGTGTGTCGCAAATATTGTGATCAGTTAAATAATCTCGTGAAAATGATAACCTATCTCTGTATCTATTATCATGATAAGAATTTTATATAACTTCTAGCATAAGTAAGTTTACTTTGTATATTGTATTGTGTCACTCAATGGAAGACGGAAAAGATCTTAAATAAATATAATCAAATCATATATTTGGTTTATCAAGCGTTAGATAGCTCGTTGGAATATAGGGGAAAGTAGTACGAGTTGATCCCCTGGGGTAAGATGATCTTTCGCGATTGTGCTGAAACCACTAACGTCATTTAGTTTCTTTCACTGATAAAACATAGCTCTGGACACCTCCCCGCCTCAGTCAAATCGTAATGGTGGCGTGAGCGATACATCGAATTTGACGAGAAAAAAGAAAAATTGTGTACTTCTGATCTAAAATAGGCATGACTTTGAGCTTATGTTACTTTTATTCAAACAATGTTAAATGTAATTACTGTTGTCGTTAGGCTTTCTTTTATGTTTAACTTTAATATTTTGGCCATAAAAACATGGCCGCGTACTTGTAGATTATTTTAGCGAATATTTAACAAAAAGTGGGACTTGGGTCAAGATGATCCCTTCCTATATGTACGAGATGATCCCTGGGAATTAAATCAAAAAAGTTAATGGAGTAGGTAAAGGGAAGTGAAATAAAAGAAAGATAACTTTATATAACTCACCTGAGTCTGAAGAAGATGATACTGAGTGGCTGTACTGAACAGAAAAGTTTTCAAGCGATACTAAGGGTGAAGGATGGATAAAATGTTATGCATGTGGAAAATAGGGCCAAAAAGCATGTGCTGGGGTAGAGGGTGATGAAGCAGGTGAATTTATTTGTGATATATGCAACACAGCTCCAGCCAAAAAGCGTTTAAATTATTTAAACGATTTTTAGCAGGTACTAAGAAAGAATAAGTTATTTTCGTTATTTAATTCGTAAATGTTTTTCTTTTCTAACTTTTTAACGATTTGTTCGCATAATTAGGTACTCCGAAAGGAATACAACCAGAAAAGAATAGATCATAGAGTAGAATCATAGGGATCATCCTACCCCTACCTGGGGGATCATCTTACCCACAGGGGTGTACAAGATGATCACTTTGTAAGGTTTTGCAAAAAATTAAATATTTTAATGAAACCTCAATTAATTTCTGGTTTTGAGTACAAGGAAAGTTGGATAGATAAATATACTAGTAGTAATCGTCTTTATTTTTGGTTTACCTTGAAAAATATGTATTTTACAGCGATTCCCGCTTAAGGGGATCATCTCGTACTACTTTCCCCTACTACGTTCACAGTAGTGGTCTGTTTCCACAAGGCATCACTTACCTTCTCGTCCTTAAAATCTCATTGATACCTTCACATTTTTTTAAGGGATACTACATAGCCGCCCACGAACTCTTACAACTTGAAAAGCTTACACCACTAAATCTGAGACGACAATACTTATTCTTAAAAATATTCTTTAATTGTAAACAATTTTTAATGTAAATATTAAAAATTCATTTAGTTGGTACCTACTTACTTTCAAATCCTGAAATTAATCTAAGTAAGTAGGTAGGCAATAAAACACTGAAAAGTTTGTTTGATTGATTGAACCACGCTCTAATCTCAGGAAATACCACCTACCCATATTGATTCGAAAAAATATTTTTGTGAAATAATCATCATTGAAAAATTATTGCAAAAACGGGAAAAGTTATTCAAACTATTTTCAGGCGTGAAGGAGCGGGAATACTATTAGTCAAGAATGGTGTTTAAGAAGCATGAAAACTCATTCTCAGCTTTGCTGTAACTCCGCTGCAAAACGTCACAGTAATGTGTTAATCAGATGAAATGATGGTCTTTTCTCCCACTCTTTTTCATCGAGAAAATAATCGTCACAGTCAATTTGGGTTTATCTTTCATTGTTTCTCCGTCACTGAAAGTGGTTAATTTTCGTCGGTCGTAAAAGAGAAAGCTCAGCCTTTTAGTTTTATTGTTACGTGGGTTCTCTGGATTTTTGGACTTTCGATCTTTTTTATTTTTATTTTTAGAATTAAAATAAAATACCCATTTATGAAATAAATATTCTATTTCTTGACACTCGGAAAGCGCAGGTCAGTCCCTCGCAGGTTGTCGTCGATCCACTGCTGCGCCTGCGCCGCCATCTGCTCGTCGAAGTACTCGCGCCAGCCGCCCGCCTTGCCTGGAAACATTGTACCATACGATTTTTAATCGAATCGTCGTATTTCGAGCAAACATATTTAATAAATCCATCTGACAAGACCTATTTAAACAAAAAATATGTACCTACCTATTAATAAATCTACTTAGGTATGTGACATAAAGTTTATGTTATGCCGATGAATAGAATACTAGATTAAGGGCTGATTTTTGAATCGTCAGATAACTTTTAACTGAAGAATAAGTTTGGCACATTGACAGTTTCAGTATGGGAAATATGTCAAAATGACAAGGTTATTCTTCAGATTAAAGATATCTGAGGATTGAAAAATCAGCCCTTAGGGTGGAATCGACCAAACAAGAGTAATATTAATCTCAGAATAAATTGTCAGTTATTCGTCATTTTGACATATTTCCCATACTGAAACTATCAATGTGCCAGTTATAAGTACCTACTAGGATTTATTTTCAGATAAAAGTTCCGTCGAATCGGGCCTAAGACATGCATTATTTTAAGCTGTCAAACTTATTTTCGTCACTCTACCTTTTCTTATAAAGTGTGCGTTTTCTTTTACTAAGCCCAAATACCTACTTAAATATTTCGAAGTTAACGGATTTGTTGTTTTTGAAGTTGTGGAAGCTGAGGTGGTCGCAGAGGCGCACCACCTGCTCCTCGCTCACGGGCGCGCCGAGAAACTGCGCGACGCGCCGCACCGCGCCGGCCAGGTCCTGCAAGAACGAAGAAAAAGTTACGGGCTTTGGTGCCAATTGGTTCTCAACTATCTAAACTTAATCTAAAGTGTGGTTGATAACAACTGAGTATAGTTGTTGTGAGTAACTAAGTAACTAGTTAACAAACAGAGTGCTGATTGGCCCTTGATCGGTCAAAAACAATCTGAAGTTCATGAAAACATAAAATATTTTTTTAGTACTTTTGTGCCACGATTAAACTAAAGTGTGAGGTGTATTGTATTAATTTGTATTTTATACTTTTAGTTCGTGACATAAAGTAAGTGTAGTATGTAGGTATGTAGATAATACCAATTTTGGTTAGTGTCTGTAACTCATTTGACTTTAAATAACCGACATTACCCGCCTTACCTCAAGTATTTCTTCGTAGAAAAGGAACAACATGTTTGGATGATCTCGTTTGTCCCACGCCTCTTTGACTTGTTCAAAGTACGGAGTCCAGTCAACTGAAATTATAATACCTAAGTTTTAAGCTTTTTAAGGATGACGATACTTTAATATTATAACTTCTAGTTTATTAGGGTCAATAAAATGTCAAATGTATTTTAAATTAAATAAATATCTTTGGACATTACACTGCGCCATCTATTTATTTAAGGCATGGCATTAAGTCCGCCACTGTACAGTTGTACTTATGCGCAAGTGTAAATAAATAAAATAAATCTCTATTACACAACCGTCAAGGGACATAATATTAAGTACTTTATGTAATAATATAAATAAACTAAGCAAAGCTTTTACTAGAAGATAGAAAACATCCAGATCAATACAAACAAATATTTTATGTTCATGCAAACAAATCTTTCTACTGTGCGGGATTCGAACCTGCGTGCCGTGGCATAGAGTAGTCCGGTACGAGACGACAAACGTCCGAAAATGCCTAAATTTATGTACAACGGTATAAACATACTCATATCTTTTCTAAAGCAGTCCCAGAAATGAGTGAACTCTCCAGTAAATCCACATCGAAAATAAAATGTTAGGCTTTGGTGATGGTAGTACGAGACCGCGACGTCGCGCGGGTCGCGCGCCACTTAGACCACGCGCGCGCGCAGCAAGCCGGGCGGCAGCAGCGACAGCGGCATGTGCGACTTCACGAAGCGCGGCGACGGCAGCGCCTCCACGATTTTATAGCCGGGTTTTCTCATGACTTCATTGACAATCTTAATTTTGTTTTCATCGCCTTTGTAAATATCGGAAAACATTTGTTCAGCTGCTTCACTGTTGAAAAATATTGAATATCTGCAAACCATGCAAACTTTAATTACTTATTTTATTATCATACAATAAATGTCATAAAATGTGTAGTAGGTAGGTATATGACATAGTTAACATACACATGTACCATCGGCCACAGTGTTAACTATCCATTGCCTGTCATGTCGTTTCGTTCTATCGCAAAGAATCACCATTTGATTAGAGCGAGAGCAAAAACGGAAATGGATAGTTAACAGTGTGGCCGTGTGTACATGTAAATTTATGCATAAAAATGAATTGTACTTAGTAGGTTAGGTACCTTTGTAGAGCGCGCCAGAACACTATAAGAAATCGCTATTTCAATCAGCTCGTTTATTTGAGATTTAAATGTAAGAGTAAGGGCTGATTTTACAATCATCAGTTAACTTTTAACTGAAGAATAAACTTGTCATTTTGACATATTTACCATACTGAAACTGTCAATATGCCAAACTTATTCTTCAGTTAAAAGTTATCCGTTGATTGAAAAAGCAGCCCTAAGTAACTTAGTTGTACTTATCGATCGATAGTTTATTCAATGCCAGAATTCAATAAAAGTCATAAAAACGAACTAGGATCATCTCTACGTTTAAAAACAAAGTGGCAGACACCTAAGTAACTGAACTATTAAACTTACTCCAAAAATGGGAATCGTTTTACGAGGGGGATAGCTGCAGCTTGTTCGTAGTCCAAATTATTTCCAATTAACCATACAAGTTCCTGGACCCAAGTTGTACCTGTTGAGGTAAGGTAATTGTACTTTGATTTTTTATAATCAATGCATACGCAAAGTGTCATTTTACTCGTAGAGTTGTAGAGCAACATTGAAACCAACACCAAGACGACATAAAATTATTAAATTTCATGATGAAGACATGACATGAAACAAACCTGACTTCGGGTAGGATAGTACGAATACATCATCAGCTCTTAGGGGCAAATTATAAATAGGAACTGCTTCCTTTTTGAATCCACCTTGCAAGAAATAACCTTTAGGGCCTACACGCACAGCACCTTCCAGCCTACGATCTGAATAAAAACATGACTTAGTTTATGAACCGCAACATTACATGGACATTAAATTTAAAATTTAGAATCATTTACTTGTATACAGGGTGTTAGGTAAATGGGTATATGAGCCGACACTAGCCCATGTTAACATGGTCATATAAATGGTATGGTGGAGTCAGAAATTTGATATCTTAATTTTAATTTTTTTAATTTTCATACAAAATAAATTTTATAAAATCCGATTTGTAACTAACTCCCTGTATATGTATAGAATATTATCTGTTAAACGAATATAGCTTTAATAAAAAGATCAAATATTTAAAATTGAAATGCACTTTACCAGGACACTAAGAAATCCACTTGGGTGAACCCACAACCACATTTTACATCTAAAATGTTATATTTAGTAGTCTAGTAGTTACTTTGTTATTAAAAGCTTTAAATCCGGTCGTAATAGTTTAAAAAGATAAATTATAATATTAATTTTCCTTGTACCTATAAAGGTACTTACTTTTAATTAACTTTAAGTATGTATGAATGAGGATCAGTACTGTTGTAGAAAATTCAATAAAACTGGTATCTACGTTAATCTTTAAGACATAAGAAAGATATATCTTTTTGAATTATCCAAATCGGACCATTACTTACGAAGATATTAAGTAATAAACATAGGCCGTTTTTGCCGCTAATAGTCAACGTACGTAGGGCCGCTTGACGTCATATTACAACGACTGGCTCATAATTTGTATGGGTGGAATCTTGCAAGCTGAATTAAGACCCACTTCCAGGACAACCGATTAAGCTGAAATTTCGCAAACACATGTGATTTGGATGACCATGCAATATTATGATGACATGGAGCTGATCTGATGATGGAGCTGGAAGGTGGCCATAGGAACTCTATAATAAAACGACTTAAATGCATCGAGTTTGGGCTCGTTCGTGGCAGAGTAGAATACATTTGTCACCAACCCCTACTCTTCCCGCGGGTGTCGTAAGAGGCGACTTAGGGACTACACAACAAACAGAGAATGGGCAGCAGCGCTCTCTGAAAAACATCAATCTTTTAAACTGCGATCTCCAACCCGCCTGCCAAGCGTGGAGATTATGGCAAATCCCTCCACCATAGTGGAGGAGGCTCATAGTCCAGCAGTGGACTGTAAAGGGCTGTTGATGATGATCGGAAGAAAGGAGGTTCTGTAGACTGGGGCTTGGATTGATATAAATTTACGAAAACTAATAATCACACAAGGAGGAGATTTACGTGACCAATAAGAGGAAGTATCAATTAAATCATTAAGTCTGTTGAGTTTGCTATATTTATGATGGTCAGCAAATTGAAGTACACGGAAAAGATACTTGTCACATAAATATTGGCGGCGTAATTTCACTGGGGGCTCAACACATTCAGCTTGCAAGGCATTAATTGGACTCGATTTCATAGCACCAGCTATAATCCTTAGCGCTTTAGATTGAATCGCATCCAATTTACTTAAACCAACTAAATTACAAGGCTCTAGATAGAAACTGCCATAGTCAAGTACACTTCTTATAATAGCATTGTATAAAAGTCTTAATGACGCTGGGTGAGCACCCCACCAGACTCCAGAAACACATCTTAAAATATTTAAAAGCTTTTCAGATTTTGCAGCAATGCTATAACAAACAATGAGGAAGCAATACTTTTTAACTACCCTAAAACGCATGTCGCTGCTCCTGTTTCCTTCATATTTTCATTTTTTTCTTAATTATAATATATTTCAGAATATTGTTAATTACAATGTGAAAACTTTTTTTAAAATGAAATTAATTTGTTTTAATTTAAAACTGAACGGTGACATTTTTTGTTATAATTTACTTAATAGAGTAGTAGAAATTACTATTTAACATATGGCAACTTTGTTTTTCCTCCAAAATGGCCGGTGTTGTTAGTGATGGGCCAACTCGGGAAAAACAAAACTCGATTTAACCCGAGTTAAAATCCACGTAACTCGGGTTGTACTCGAGTTACGTAACTTGAGTTAACTGGATGGACAAGTCAGTTTTTTACATATTTTTACCAGTTTATTCCCTTAGATTCGTATTAACATTTAAAAACATATCATTTATAATGTATTGGGAGAATCATACTAACTAAAGTAAGAAAGAAAAAAATATTGTTTGAAATATAATAATTTATTCATGGATTTTTGGCTTGAATTTTAATTTAAAAAAATTATTATATTTATTATCACTTGGCATTTTTCAAAAACAGAACATAAAACACGAAAATCTACAACAATATCCGGCAGTTTAAAGTTAACTTCAAATGAACATAGTCTCAACACTCAAATGATCGGCAATCTTCGGTCCATGTCGGATCCATTCGGATTACGATACGAACTCGAGTCAGAGAGAATTCAACTCGAGTGGGTTCGAGTTACGCCCAACTCGAGTTAACTCGAGTTACTTACTCGAGTTGACCATCACTAGTCATTATGCTGTTTGTTGTCGTTCAGTGAAGTCAAAGTCAGTAAAGTATGTCGAGTCAGATGATAATACAGAACAGGTACAGTCAAATGAAATGTTTATAGGTCATATTCAGTCATCCAAGTCATCATCAAGTGAATGGTCAATTAATTTAACTATAAATAATTCTCATATAAATTGTATTATTGATACAGGCAGTGATGTCAATATTATGTCCAAAGATGTCTATGATTCACTTAATATTAAGAGTGCACTGTCTGAAACTAATATCAAAATAAAGTCTTACACTGGAAATAGTCTAGAAGTCCTAGGTCAACAAAACCTAAAGTGTGAATTTAAATTTAATGATACTTATATGTCAAAAGAAATTAATTTTATAATTGCAAATGTCAACTCTCCAACTGTATTAGGTAAACTTACTTGCTCAGATATTGGATTAATTAAAAGAGTTTTTTGTGTGGATTCTACAAACATGCAAATGTCAGATTGTGATATCAGTCAATTGTCTTCTAATTTAAATCAAAATGAGTCAAATCCAAGTCAAGAATTATGTTCTAAAGTCACTAAGAGTCAGTCACAGTCACTTCCACCACAGTCAAGTCAGTCACAAAATATAAATATAAATAAACTTATTGAATGTAATAATTCTGTTTTTACCGGTCTGGGTTGTCTTCCTGGTGAGTGCCACATAACTACGAGTCCTGAAGTCCAGCCAAAAGTCGATGCTCCGAGGAAGGTACCATTCGCATTACATCAGAAGCTTCAACAAGAACTCGAGAAATTAGAAAAAATGGATGTCATTGTCAAAGTCACAGAGCCAACAGAGTGGGTGAGTTCTTTGGTTTTAATTGAAAAGAAAAATGGTCAGTTACGGGTATGTTTAGACCCCCGAAATCTAAATAAAGCCATAAAAAGGACTCACTATCCTATCCCATCTGTTGATATGGTTCGCGCCAAGGTGGCAGGAGCGAAATTCTATTCCACCCTGGATGCAAGTAGCGGATTCTGGATGTGTAAATTGTCTGACAAGAGTTCATACCTCACAACGTTCAACACACCATTTGGCCGTTATCGTTTTAAGCGTCTCCCATTCGGTGTCAACTGTGCTCCAGAATATTTTCACAGAGTCATGACGGAAATATTTGGTGACATACCTGGAGTAGCGGTGTACAGCGATGACATCCTAGTCAGTGGAAAAACTAAAATGGAACATAATGATCGTCTTAACATGGTATTTAATAGAGCAAAAGAATTCAATGTCAAGTTTAACAAAGAAAAATGTACATTTGCCAAAGAGAGTATTAAGTATCTTGGACATATATTTTCAGCAGACGGAATCACAGCTGATCCGGATAAAGTCAGAGCAATCAAAGATATGCCGTCGCCTACTTGTCTAAAAGATCTACAGAGATTTTTAGGTATGCTCAATTATTTGAGTCCCTTTATTAAAAATATGGCAGGTGAGACAGAAGTTCTTCGTCAGTTGCTGAAAAAATCTACTGATTGGCAGTGGACTGCTAATCATGAAGCTACATTTTGTCGTCTCAAACAACTAATATGTAAAGTCCCAGTGTTGTCACATTTTAATGTTCGTGATCCTATTGTCCTACAAAGTGATGCTAGTAGCAGTGCTGTTGGTGCGGTGTTGTTGCAAAATCAACATCCCGTATATTATGCTTCAAAAACATTAACTGATTCTCAGAAAAGAATGGCTCAAATAGAGAAAGAACTCTATTCTATAGTTTTTGCATGCATTAAGTTCCATCAATTTATATATGGACAAACCGTCACTGTAGAGACAGATCATGCTCCTCTAATAACATTGTTTAAAAAGCCTTTAGTCGAAGTCCCAACACGTCTTCAAAGAATGATGTTGAAAATACAACCTTATAGTCTAAATGTCGTTTACAAAAAAGGTAGTCACATGTATATTGCTGATACTTTGTCTAGAGCAGCGCTTCCTGAAACAAGTTCAGACGAATTAGATGATGATATAGTTGTTCATGTAAATCTATTGATAAAGTCATTACCAGTCTCATCAGAACGCTTAGAGTGGTTAGTCAAAGGTACTAATGAAGATGAAAGTCTGCAGATTTTGAAAAAATACTGTAAAGAAGGATGGCCGTCAAGTAAAAGTCAAGTTCACAAAGATTTGCACGAATATTGGCAGTATAGATTTGATTTACATACAGAAAATGATCTGATTTTCAGAAGTAACAGTATAGTCATACCTAAAAAATTAAGGCCAGACATTTTGAAAATAATACACAGTGGTCATTTAGGTATTGAAAGGTCAAAAGCGTTTGCTAGAGGTCATGTATTTTGGCCATTTATGTCAACTGATATAAAAAATATCGTACAGTCTTGTCATACTTGCTTGTCACACAGAAGTTCAAATGCTCCAGAACCACTTATTCCACATGACGTCACATTACTACCATGGGAAAAAGTTGGTGTCGATTTCATGGATTATAGATCTAGGAAATATATAGTGGTACAAGATTACTACTCAAATTTTATTGAACTAATGTCAGTAGCTAGTACTAACGCCAAAACAGTAATTGTTTCACTGAAAAGTATTTTTAGTAGACATGGTATCCCTATCGAATTGTTTTCAGATAATGGGCCTCCATTTAATTCAGCCGAGTTTAAGAATTTTGTTTTTGAGTGGGGAATTCACCACAATACGTCAAGTCCTTATGTGCCAAGGTCTAATGGGTTGGTAGAGTCAGGAGTAAAGATATGTAAACGTTTACTTACCAAGTCTGAAGAGTCCGGAACAGATCCATATCTTGCTCTGCTTCAATTCAGAAATACACCTAGAGGAAACTTACCATCTCCAGCACAATTGTTAATGTCACGTTCACTTAGAACACAATTACCTACAGTCACAAAGAATTTAAAACCAAAAACAGTTAAGTTTCAAGAATATGTAAAAACAAAGGAAGAAAATAAGAAGAAAATGAAAGATTACTATGACAGGAAAACTAGAACATTACCAGAACTACAAGAAGGAGATAAAGTCTATTTTAAGAAAATGCCAGATACTCCATGGATCACAGGTACAGTAAGATCTAAATGTGATCAGCCTAGATCTTATACTGTTGAAGGGCCTGATGGATTTATAGGAAGGAGAAACAGACAACATATTTTGAAGCCTCCGCAGTCACCTCAAACTGTATCTCAAGAGATGATAAAAAGAAGTCCAGATGTCGATACATCTCCAACATCACATACAGTGTCACCGTCTATTGAAGAGCATACAACTCCAGGTACAAGGCGCTCTAGGTTTGGAAGAGTTATAAGACCCCCAAGACGGTTAGATTTATAATTTAAGTTACTGTTTAATAAACATAAATTGTGTTAGTGACTGTGAAGGACTGATATAATGTTAGTAATGTCTGATGTTTAACTTTAATGTAGAGTGTCTGTTTAAGTCTATTTAAAGAGTAACCTGATTTAAATAAATTAAATGAAACCATCAATCGAGCTAGTAGAATTTATTTATTCGTCAATAATCAAATTCAGAACTTGAATATTCAACTGCAATGTCTGCTCATGAACGCTTCAAACTCGGTACTTCTTTCCCAATCCCATAAAATTCAACACTTAGAAAGTGACAAAAAAATTTAAAATAGGTAGTTAGTTGAAACAAACCACAGCAAATTTTCATAGTGGACTGTACTATACGATAAACATGTCAGTCAATTTGACAACCTTTGTCGGAAACATTATTCAATGAAAATATTGTCCAAACCCTTAGTATTTCTCTTCGACAAATACTTTAACACATTGTGAACCACTTTTCTTTCACGACTATAAAAATATTTTAGCAATTTAATTCATAATACCAATTGCGCACATTTCAAATAAAGTTTGTTTACACTTTGACAGCAATAGACTGACATGCAAGGTGACATGTCAATGAAGTTTTCAGTTACTGTTGCCATTAAAAGAAATTAGTACCATTAGTTTTCCGCAACATGGCGAGGGTTTTTATGTTCCTGGTCAGGCTATACGAACTTACGTACTATCACGAACTAGTAGCCGTTTACCTTAATCACAAAAAGTTACGTATTTTTTTCCCAGAGCCACGATCGACCTATCTCACCTCCCCAATGGCCGGAGCGCGACTGACGTTAACCGAATAGAACGCTGTGATTGGTTGCTGGTGTTCGGTTTAACGGCAATCTTGTATTATTACTCATAATTTTAGGTACCTAAAATCGTGTGACCAACGTATTTCGCTTTCTCAATTCGAAATAATTATAAGAAGATATTTTTTTGACTATTGTGTGGAAAGTATATTTAATTACGATGATTTTAGTATATGCTACACACAAATTAAATGAAAATTGTTAATGCAGTAACCAAATGTTTCATTGCAACCGAAGGTGTGACACGATGAGAACGCGAAAAATGACCCCGTTTTTTATCGTTTCATGTGATGTTTTCGTATTATTTTTGCTTCTATTACGATAAAATTTATTTCGTATGTAGCTAAATAGATATTTTATCACCTGATTTCAAAGTTATTGTTCTAACTTATACCGTTTATGAACTATTGTTGTGTGACCATCAAATTTGAGTATAAATTAATGAGAAGTACCCTTACTTTGTTTTGAAGAATTTTCTAACTTTACTCAAAGGCGCAGCTGCTCTAAGTATTCTTCGTTTCAACTAGCTGTCAAAACGACACCTCGAAACGGTCGTCGAAACAGCTGAAGTTCGTTCGTCGTCCGGACGCATTGAAGATAAAAAAATTTAGCGCAATCGGGGCGGGGCCCTGGCAACCCTCATCGAGCAAGCCTTTAGTGAGGGTATTCCCCCATACTTTGAGTCGACGCACAGATAATAAAAAATCGTACCTATAAAACTAACCAACCACACCCACTTAACTCATTCCCTGTTTAGAGTTTCAGCTGTAATTTGCGATATTCTTAAACGTAAGAAAAGTTTTTTGCAAAAATGAGGAAGCTGGCAATTGACTGTGAAATGGTGGCCAGTGGGAACCAGCACATCTTGGCCAAGGTGGCGTTAGTAGACGAAAATCTAAGGGTCATTTTGGATACATTTGTGTCACCTATAGCTACGGTGACCGATTATAGATACGATTTAACTGGAATTAACCCAAGCGACCTACGAAACGCCCCCAGTTTTTCGACCGTAAGTGTCATAATTTTCTTTTTATTTACCTACTTACTTTTTAACCCTGTGACATATTTTCCGAATCTATTTTCTAGCGCCCGTTTCCCATAATTAATTAATCCTTGTACAAATCCGGATTTCAATTGTCAATTTTAACTAGGCTAGTTTCCTAAAAAAAATTTTTTAGTCCGTCATGTTTAATAACAAAAAATATTGGACACATATATTTTTATTTGTCAATCTAACAAATAATTACATAGTTATGGTGCGTTGCACTTCCGCACGACGTCACAACGTGCGGCACTTTTATGCACGCATTGACGTCACGGGCCTCTTCTTATGAACTATGGCGCGCTTTATCTCTTTAAATTTTCATTAGTTTGAAAAAGTGAAAAATACATGTAGAGTATTTTTTGATACGTTAACTGACGGACTAATTAAAACTCTTGCTTTTTGACCCAAATTTGCTTGGTAAATCAAATGAAAGGAAAACCATGAAATCAGATGATTTCAGTTTGTTAGAGAGATTTCATCCTTATACTTAACCCTAACGATCGATGCAATAAAAATACAGGGTGTAATTTTAGTTGGTTCGATTCCCGGGTGTGGCAAACAAATTTTTGGAAATCTTTGAATGCGAACTGCATTCATTATTTCTTTTAAAAAATAAAGGAATGCTTTCTTTAATAAAAAATATATATTATCTACAATATTAATACCATCCCTCTAGGTGAGGTATACTTAAGTCTTAGATTAATAAAGCCTTTATTAATATAAGGTACGAGTATTTTTAATGTCATTTGGGCGCTTTCAGTAAATGTCATTTGCGGAGTTAAAAAGGCCTTACTTACTAACTTTATGAGTTAAATATAGACCGAGCTTTTGTGTATTGTGTAGACTGTAGACCATTCAAATAGGGTTCATTAATTGGTGGACCCAGTTTTACCCCCCTTAGGGGTAGAATTTCGTGAAATTGATTAGTCAGTGAGTTAATGATTAGCGGTCCTGCCTCTGTTGACAAGCACTATGTCATGATACGGGGGGAGGGGGTGCGATTGTCTTTCAATCTTCGAATCGGTAGGTAACCCCCAAAATCCTGGGGGTACCAGGGGTAGGACTTATGACAGGGGGGGGGGGGGGCTGATCGCCCCGGGTGCATTTCATTTTAGTTGTATTTGCTTTTTACATATAGATTCTTTCTTTTCAGGTCCAAACAAGGGTCAGGAACGAAATATCCGGATGCCTTCTGATTGGCCACTCTGTCGCCGATGTAGATTTGAAGATGTTAGGACTGACACACCCTTCTCATAACATTCGAGACGTTGCCCAGTATCCTCCATTTAAAAAGGTACTGAAAATCAAGGTGTTAGGGATATGAAGTTTCGGTTATGGATACTGTTCCGGATATTATTATTAGAATAATACCTATAAACCTTTTTTTTTATTTCAGTATAACCCCTACGGTGAAAAGCCGTCTCTGAAGGTCCTCGCTGAAAAAGTCTTAGGAGAGCGCATCCAAAATGGCGCCCACGACCCCGTGGAAGACGCTCGCACTTGCATGAAATTGTACAAGACCTATAACTGGTAGTAGACTGGAAGAATCTGCTAGAAAGGCGCTACATAAAATTCCTACTTATTTTTTTTTGCAGTGTATCAAAAATGACCACCTAGCGCCATCTACATTTTTTATTAGGAAACCAACATGTATACTTCAATTAAAAACGTACAATTAATATTGTAGATTTTTTTTTGTATGTTAAGCTACATAAAATATTTTTTTTAATAAATATTTGTCACTAAAAATCAAACGAGTTTCATTTTTCTGATTGTACTGCCATCTACCGACTAATAAAGACACTATCTTTCATTACTTTTCCAAAAATAACATTATTTTTGCGTGTAGGAGACTAATGCCCGTTTTCACCATCAATCCCTAATTTTTAAGTGACACCTATGTAAATAAAATTCCTGTTATTTTTTACCATAGGAGTAATTTAAAAATTAGGGATTGATGGTGAAAACGGGCATAAATCTAAAATAGATTTGTATTGTATTATTTTGTATTTCAAAAGCTAAATTTTTCTCTTAATTCGAGCTTGATTTTTCAACTTGAAACAATTATTCTTTATTAGTACCGTTTGGTGTAGTGGTTCGAAACTGACTACTATTCCGGAGGTAGCGGGTTCGATTCCCGCACAGTACAAACATTTGTGTGCATGAACATATTATTATTTGTTTGTGGGTGTTTTCTATGTATAATAAGAATGTATTTACAAAAAAAAAAGTATTTAAGTATGTTTACTTATATCCGTTGTCTAGTACCCATAGTACAAGCTTTGCTTAGTTTGGGACTAGAACCGCAGTGTAAATGTCCATTTCAAGGATATTTATTATTAGTATACTAGCTTTCCGCCCGCGTGGAATTTTGTTTGTCATAGAAAAAATTTATCGCGCGCGTCCGTTTCAAAAACCGGGAAAAAAACTATCCTATGTCCTTTCCCGGGACTCAAACTATCTTTATGCCAAATTTCATCAAAATCGGTTCAGTGGTTTAGGCGTGAAAGCAAGACAGACAGACAGAGTTACTTTCACATTTATAATTAGCTTTCCGCCCGCGACTTGGCCCGCGTGGAATTTTGTCTGTCACAGTTGCTCTAATAGGAATAATAAATTTATGCCCCAAATAAAACTCGGTGTAAATTATAAAATTATTTCATTTATTAAAATTTCATTGTAAACAATCATCCGATAATTGGGATTCACAATTAATAGTATAACAGAATGCACCTTGAAACAGCCAGGTTCCTTACTGAGTAAAGGTCATAGCACACTTATCAACCCGGAAAGGGGTTCACAGTATCGCCTTGAGACGATTATCACACTGTACCGCGCTCCGCCGCGGTCCGCGTGATTTCATATAAAAAATCCCGCGCGCAGACGCGTTGTCAGTGTGTTGTGCCGCGCGTGTTTTCTATACAAACTGAGGTACTTGCATACAATGATTAAATCTGTCGTCCCGCGTACCGCGGCGGAGCGCGGTGCAGTGTGATAATCGCCTTACGCAAGCGAGGCGTTTAAGTTACGGTGCGGATATGTGTGCGTTGCAGTACGGAGTTTCATACAAAGAATACTGACCGCCTCCAGTTGATACGGTTACGATCCGTTTCCGGTTTGATAAGTGTGCTTCGTCCTTAACCCGTTGTAGCAGGCGAACGACAAACGTTGCGACAGTAAGAAGTCATCGTAGTACAGGTCTAGGCCATAACAGTCAGTGCCTGATGTATGGGAGTCAGTGCGTTCTGTCGGTCACCTAATACAATGGGATAGTAGTTTCTTTTGCTGCAGAAAATTAAAAAAAACATACAATTAAATACACGACTATAGAATAAACTCAATCATTTGAAATTTGAATTTAGATCTAGACTCTAAAACGGGTTTAAAAAAATGGTGGGAAATATATTCCCATTGCCGTATAGAAGCCACACACAACTGATTTCGTACATAATAATACAGATTCAAAGTTCTGTAGCAAAAGAAACCAATTATTGCGATCAATAAAATTATGTAGACCAGTAGTCTTCAATAGTTAAAAAGACCTCGATTTAACAAATCACAGTCGTATTGTGTCAAAAAACCACACCAACAAGGTTCCGCCGATTTTAAACCTTAAGATTAACGGTATAAAGTCAATAATCTATTGCGGGGAATCTTTCTTCGTAATTAAACCTTTCACGGGCATAATAAGTCTTGGACAGTTTCAGTTTTGGACCTCAAAACAAGGAAATACGGTTAAAAAATGGTGGGAAATATATTCCCACTACCTTATAGAGGCTTAAGTCAAATTCCCTCAATTGATTTCTACATAATAATACAGATATAACGTCAAAATTCATTGACCAAAAACGTAAAAGTAAATTAGCTACATGAAATAATTGAAGTTTTGCCAAAAACAGGGTAATTATCAATGATGCTTATCACGATAATTATGGATATTTAGCAGACTGATAATTACAAAAAAGTGACGCTCTACGCGACTAGCGATGGATAACTTGACAACAGTCGGCAATCAAATACATAATGCTAAATTCGTTACGACTAACTCGACAAATACATTTCTTATAATGGATAATTATTAAGAAGCGTAATTATCTTGATAATTTCGAACCCCGGCTAAAAACGATTAAAATGTATTGCACTTGACAACGCAGAATACTTTAAGTACACACGATGGCGACCACGAGCCGGAAGACATAGCGCGGGCAGCCCTCCCCCACTAGGTGGACCGACGATCTGGTGAAGGTCGCATAACAAATCCAAATTTTTCATTGTTTTTCGCACCTTAACACAACGGAATAAAGTTCAAAATATAGTGGGAACTATCTTACCACTACGAAAGTGGGAATACAGTTCCCACTACTGCAAAAATCATGTCTTACTGGGAATGAGCCCTGAAGTATTGTAATAAGGGTTATATTGCAACAAAACAGCTTGATGTGGAAGGTGGGTATATGCCTTCTTATCAGTCTTTTCTAAATATATTTCAGTAGTGTTGCCTGTCGATAAATATATCGATAGTTTTGCCGAAATATCGGAAAACTCAAAATTAAGGTACATGGTAGCAATCCCGTCAATAATAATTATGTTAGTGACCATGAAAGTTTAAAACAATACTATATCGATCACCAGTTAGCGCCACTGTAGAGTAAGGTCCTGTCACTTGCTAGTAGCGAAGACAGTGGCACCAATTGGCGAGCGCTAAAGTGGTAGGAGGACTATCGCATTTGCACTCATCAAGATGGCGCCACTGTAGAGTAAGGTCCTGTCAATCGCCAGGGGTGCCAACTGTTAAGTATAAAAACGATAGCCCTCATTGGAATAAGGTTGCTGTCAACTTTTTGGCCACTTTGGGTGCCACGAACTATTTGACGCTGCTGTATTTGCTCGCGAGTCATATCCGAGGAACGCGGGTTCGCCGCCGCTCCACTATTGTGGTGAGCTCACTCGTGACACAAGCATATTTAGCTTAGTACGAGGGGCTAAGAGTAGGCGCACACCGTTGATTTTTCGTCGGCCGATAGTTTAGTCGGGCAGTTGATCAGTATGGGCATGTATGGGAGTGCGCACACTACGCCGATTCGATTTGGCCGATTCTTCATACAATTTAAAATCGGGCACAACTATCGGCCAACTAAAAATCAACGGTGTGCGCCTACTCTAACGGGACTATTTAGTTGTTCAATACAAATTACTAATATTATAAAAGAAAACTGTCATTGGACCCGCAACGATATTAATCAGAAGAACATAGGAGTTCGAAGTTAAGGATCGATAACCTTCAATTGCTAAACGGATGACGGGCGATAAACAAAGGTAAGGCTGGGCTGCACCATCTTAGTTTAACTTTGACAAACGTCAAAAATCTGTCAAACTCCATACAAAATCAAATACAAAAATGTCGGAGGGATTCCGTGGAGGGTAGTTGAACGGGAAGCATGGTCGATCTGTTTTAATGGTTTCAATTTATTATTTAATGGACTTTAGTGTACAAATTTGGTGTTATTTTGTGTTCTAAAGTGCAGTGAAGTGATAAATTATAAAAAACATTGAAATACTTCGAATTTGAGCGCGCATCGAGTGTCGAGTGGGTTGTCGTATGAACAACCCGCTTTGGACCCGGTGGCGTCTCGAAACCTGCTTACGGGCATACTTAACTCCACGGAATCCATGAAAAATCAATAGAACTGAAACACCCACGTTCTATTGATAATTTTGTCAATTATTTTTCACTCGACATTGGCAGAAATAAACCTCCCAGAGAGGTTTGGTTGCCATTAAAAAAAATCAAAAATATTTATTCAGTTTAGACCACAAGTGGCACTTATGAACGTCAAAATGTCATTTACATAAAAAAAGGAAAGGTAGCCCTTATGGGGCACTGAGACACAAAAAACACCGGTTATCGTTAAAGTTACGGTCAAAGTTAGGTGGTGCAACTAAGCCTTAATTAATTAATCCTTAATCATTTCCCTGTCTCAGTAGAATCGATATTCCTATAAATTGAGCGACATTTCAAAACTATCGACATTTAATCCATCGACAACACGGCAACACTACTCGACATACAGGCCGTTACAACTTGCATTAGGCACGATAAAATATATGCAAAACTCAACGACAACCACGGTAAATAGCTAGTGTAACAACATTTCGCTAAAACATAGTTAAAAATTGATTAAAGGTCATAACAGACTTACGCCCGTATTCACAAACATTACTATGAGGTCTCACAGTGCGCGTGGACGCACAGGGTGACCCTCAAACCAATGACAGAGCTCTATTCAACGCTGTGCGTTCGATTTGCTGCTTCACTTAAGCAAGCATCGTTTGTGAATACGGGCGTCATCAACTCGGAAAGGGATCAACATCGTATCGCCTTTCGCTGTCAACCGCGAGGCGATGCGTTTACGTTAAGGTGCGGATAAGTGAGCGTTGTAATATAATAAATAATAAATTAATAAATATCCTTAGACATTTTGCACTGCACTTCTAGTCCCAAACTAAGCAAAGCTTGTACTATGGGTACTAGACAACGGATATAAACATACTTAAATACTTTTATTTTGTAAATACATACTTATTATACATAGAAAACACCCAGTCCAATACAAACAAATATGTTCATGCACACAAATGTTTGTACTGTGCGGGAATCGAACCCGCTACCCCCGGAATAGTAGTCCGTTTCGAACCACTACACCAAACGGCCGACAATATGAAGTTTCATACAAATACTGACCGCCTCGGGTTACGATCCCTTTCCGGGTTGATAAGTGTGCTACGTCCTTAAGCATGTGCCACACTGAATACGTTCTGCGATCATGTCAAAACGCATCCCCATGTCAGTTTGCGTTCTTTGCTTGTTCCCGCAGTGTCATAATAGTTGACAAAGGTGACTGAGTTTCTTCCGCCACTTCTTCTTAGCACCGGCCCATATGTTGTCCCGAAGTGGTGGTAGGGCAAGCTATATTTGGGACGTGTATAAGTGCCCTAGAAAGGACCTATGTACTGAATAAAACATTTGTATTAACTATTGTTCATATATGACGCGAGCTGCGTTTACTTTGACCCAAATTAATAAAATTGTTTGAGTTGACCACAGACCGCAGAACGCGTGTAAAGCCCGGTCCGTGAGCACGTAGAATTTTGTCCAATGACCCCTAGCTACCCATTCTTATCGCTCGCGCGTAATTATATTGCTGTCGCGACTGTGCGACGGGCGCCCGCAGTGAGTGTGCGAGCGCGATAGCAACATAATTACGCGCGAGCGATAAGAATGGGTAGCTAGGGGTCATTGGACAAAATTCTACGTGCTCACGGACCAGACTATAGTAAATAATTAAACTATTAAATACACACATTTTAGTTTGTGCACGTCCATCTGTACATAATTCATTTATAGGCCTTATTAACACTGATTACCACTGACCTTTTGATTCGAGTCGGCATTTGACAGAGAACGCAGGTTTCAAAGTCTAGTAAATTAGGGATTCATGGTGAAATAAGGCATTATTCTATATTTACTGAATCTTTTAATCTGCATTCTCAAATCAAAATCCTGACCCAAACATATAACTTTATGTATAATGTCACAAAAATAATATACATTACTTCACAACGACTTAAAAAACTAGACTTTACATAGAACATTTTTTCGTTGATTTTGATACTTGTTACAACTCAATAAAGCTTAAAATACTGGCAACACTAACCGACAGGCAAAACGGTCCCTGACATAGCACATTTTTTTGTCAAAATGAACCTTTTTAAAACGTAATGAGGTCCAAATTATGGTGGCAAGTACTTTTTAATACATTTTTGAGGGTATTTCATTATAAAAACATGCATATTTTATGATATAAGCCAAGCCATAAAATCAAATTAAAAAACTCACAAAACAGGCAGAGTGTAGTCGTTCCAAAATTATGTGTATTATTTTTCCGCATTATTTTGTAGTCTATCTATGTATAATAAAATCTAATTTCTTCTCGGACCCCAATCCAGCGGCTGACAACACACATATCCTGGAAAGAAAGAAAACAATTTTTTATAGCATTCACCAATATAAAAATCTTTTTTTAAATAAAAATGTCACTAAAATCGTGGGTTTTGGTCAATACGTGGGACGTCCACCCACATGGTGGACTGACGACCTCATAAAGGTAGCAGGAAGGCGCTGGACGCAGGCCGCTACCAACCGGGCGATGTGGAAGTCATTGGGGGAGGCCTATGTTCAGCAGTGGACGACCTGTGGCTGAAATGATGATAATGAAGGGGATTTATAGACTTTTGTTCATTATCCCCTTGATCATCTGCTCAGAGGATTTAACTTTTTATCGGCTTATTATGCAAATTCTCATAGATGATCACCTACTCAGAGAATTTATAGACGTTTTGTTCATTTATCCCCTTCATATCACCTCAGGGGAACTTACACTAAAGGCTTCCACAGACCAAACGCGGGTCAAAAGCAGTGCGGGTCAGTTGCAGCGCGGCTGAGGCACACTGAAAGCAGCGCAGTCTCAAAGCAGTTGCAACGTTCAAAAATTTAAATATTCGAAAACCGCGCTGCCCTGCGTTTGGTCTGCTTAAGGCTTAAAAGTCTAAAAATCCCCTTAGCCGATATTTTATTTATTTATCGATGAGCAACATAATAAGCTTACAGAAAAACCAATTTAAAGATATCAAATAAAAATAAAAAACTGACTATTATAAATCTAAGGCTGAGTTGCACCACCTTCACTTTAACTGTAAAAAATGTCAAAAGTTGTCAAACTCTATACAAAAACACCGGTTAAAGTTATAGTTAAATGGTGCAACCCAGCCTTGGACTATCATTATTGAAACAAAAGTCTCACCTTACTCCACTGCAGATGCGTCCAAACTAACGTTCACATAGCTGGCACCCATCGATTCCCTATGACGTTGAGACACAACGTGTTTCTTCGCGTTCTCTCCCTCTAAAACATCCGCCTCACACACGCCACAGCGCAGTTTCCCAAAGTCGTAATACACGTACTTATTTCGCCCCAACATCCCTATATTATGCTTCAACTCCAAATAGAAACGGAAGACGCATTCTGAAGACGGTTTCTCCACGAAATGATCGGCGTACACCAAATGGGCCAGCAAGGAGCGAATGGAACTAAAGACGCACTGGCAGACTACGCAACTGAAGGTACTGCCTTCAGTGTATAGTATGTAGTTGCCTCGCATATAGACGCTTATTATGTCCCCTCTATTCGCGGTTATCTTCGCTTCAGCAGCCAAGTTCTGGTGATCTACACTGGTTAGTATATGCGTGATCGCTTCCTGAATCGACTGGAAAGGGACACTGCAAAAATTGCACCATATTCCCCCTTGAGACACCGCGATTTTGTTCAGCAGAAGAATGTCGCGATCAACTGAATCGGGGTACATAGCCGAGCGGACAGTTTTGGCGATAGATTCAACATGCATCGGGCTCTCAAAGTGCTCTACGATCGCGGAAAAAGACGGCACAGCGACGTATTTAGTACACAACATGCACGCGTAGAAATTGCCGAAGCTAGCGAAATACTCCGCAGGGCGGCAGTAGTTTTTATAGAGTAGAGACAGTTTGTGCGGCGCTGCGTTCCGCAAATGTTTCTTCTGCCGGATGTGGTTGAACAACACTTGCCTCGGCCCTTTCAAGGTCATGTCGCAGCATGTGCAGTAGTTCGCAATTTTCCCGGACGGTTTTATGAAGTTCTCGATCACTACATGGTCCCGATTGTTCTGCGGTTTCCCGGTACTGCCCAAGAATTTGGTCCAGTCCAAATCTTTAGGTCCCCATTCGTCTGGGATCGCGCCATCAGGGTTGTTCAGCTTCATTCTACGGAATAGCTTATCAGACAGACGCGCTAAATGGTTCTCATCCAGTATATGCACAGTCGACGCCTCTACCGATTCAATAGACGTCTTGCACAGCCCGCATTTAAGACCGTTCGCATCCTCCGTAATATCGTGCCCGTATAAAAACTTCCTGTTCATCTCTTTGATTTTCTCCATCGACCGTTCCTCCATCGTAAATGGAATGTGCTTATCGGCTTGCAGAATGCAAGACAAGTTGTGAATGTGTGTTTCGCTGAACACGTGGTTCAGAACGCTGTCGTAACGGAAACGCAGCGTGTAATACTCGCAGGCCATGCAGAAGAATGCCAGCTTGCCGGTGCGATCGTCGACCAACGATAGGAGCTTATGGTTGCCTAACAGTTTCAGGATGAAATTCTCTATAGGACCGTAGTAGCGGTACTTCTTCACTTGATTCTTAACCGGTTTGTCGGCTCCCTGATCGTTGTCGTCATTATCAATATTCTTATTGGCGTCAGAAGCGAAATTTTGGTAGACATTGTCTTTAATACTCATGATAATAGGGGCGACCGCGCTTGTCTGAGTCGAAAAGTCTATCGCCACCACTTCTCGGCAAAGTTTATCGTAGGTCGACTGATAGAACTTGACAGCGGCATCGATGCTGGCCTCAGAGTTGTCAGGCAAGTTCCTGATCAACGCCGCTTCGAGTTTAGCTGAGAACGCGCGGTCTAACTTCTCCACCGGTCTTTGGATGAGCATAGCCAGATTCTGAGCGGGAGTCTCGCCGCATTCCATGGCGGAAAGCCTCCTAGACATATTGGGCAGGATGATGGGCTCAGCCACGTCTATGCTCTCGCGTTTCAACTTAGGCAGATGGACTTCCAAGTTGAAATGTTTTTGCAAAGACTCCATCAATGGTTCTTCGTCATTCAACTCGATTTCCACATTGCAATCGATGCAAATGTGCACTTGTTTTGCGTTCTCCGCATTGCTCAATTCTGCCTTCAGCAGTTCAGGCACTTCGCTAACCGGCAAGCTGTTAAAACGTTGGCGCTGCAAGCTGCTTTTCTTTTCCGTCGTGAAAATGTATTCCACTTCAACCCCCTCCCGTTTCTGGAGAAACACTTTGCGGTGTGTTTCGTCCAGATTCTTCAAGTAGTTGAGAATGCTTTGGTTCTCTTGCGTTAGAGGATGGTTGACGACGTTCCGGAAATGCCTCGCCAGTCGCTTAACATCGTCGACCGTTCGGAAAGACAAAAGGGACAACTCCTGCAGCCCAGTGGCTACACTTTCAACCTTATCCTCAGCCATCGCTTAGTAAAACTTTATAAAAATTATATCTGTACAACGATTCACCTGTCTTGTAACCAAGATATGGCTTAAGTATGGTGCCTTAGCCCGAGCGAGCTATATAGCGTATAATAATAAAATTGAAACAAAGATGGAGAATTTGTGGCCCGTACGAAGTCCGAAACGCTTATGGTTTGTGCGCAACTTAAAATTTGGCTTCCCTAGAAGAGATTTTGTCAATTTTGGCTGAATAAAAAAACCGGACTTGATTTGATCGTAGAATATCACCGCATTTCAAGATCTGGAAAGAAGAAAAATAAGTTTTAGTACCTATTACTATTACTCTGCCGTTTCGCTCCGCTCCGCCTCATGCGCGTATATAGCGGGAGGAAATCGGGCCTCACGCGCGTATACAGGGTGTCCCAGAATGGGTGAATCAATTTCATATTTTTTAGGGATAGTACATTAGTAGAGCTACCTGCCCTAGCAGTTTGATTCACCCATTCTGGGACACCCTGTGTATAGCGGGGGGACCGCCCCTCAGAATAGTCAACAAGGCCCCCCACCATATTGGGCTAATTTAAAGATGAGTAGTAACCATGACCTTGATACTAATCGCACCCACCCCCCAGTGACATGGCAAGTCAGGGACACAGTCCCCCTGAAAAATAAACCTAGATGCGCCTATGCCAGGCCTTACTTATTATAAATCTACCTTTCATCATCATCATTACAACATTCCACTTCATAAAAATGAAATATTTTACTTAGAAAAAATCTACCTACATTTATCAAAATCAAAAATATTTATTCAGTTTAGACCACAAGTGGCACTTATGAACGTCAAAATATAGTAAACAATAAAAAAAGAAAAGGTAGCCCTTATGGGGCACTTTACTTGTCTCCTTATCTTTTGGGCCCTACCAGCGCTTCGAGACAAACATATGCAAGTGCATATCTTCATGAAATACACTATGCTAACTGCTAGCAAAAACATTGCATCTGGGATACATCTATTTCGATTACACAATGTCTTCCTACTAATATTATAAATGCGAAAGTTTGGATGTCTGGATGTTTGTTACTCTTTCACGCAAAAAGTAACGGATTTTGACGAAACTTTACAGTATTAATGTTTATAACCCAGAATAACATATAGGTATAATTTATGACGATCTGTGACACTAAATTTCACATGGGTGAAGCCGCGGGCAAAAGCTAGTAGGAAATAAATAATTCTGTTCTAGGTATTGAGCTCTCTCGTAGATAAGGTCCTATACAAATGACAGGTCTTTGTAAACTGGTTTCCTGAGAATTAAACATTTTTAAAGGTTTTTTTTTCTAAAACAAAATTGTTTATTAATCTAGTACTATCCTACTCTTTGAACATCAGCTATCGGCCAGTGAAATTCGATTCAAAATCGTTTCATAGGCTAGCCCAAACAAATAAATGCAAGAGTATTTTTTAAAAGTTCGTTTTTGTAAAGTGTAACTTTATTTCAATTCAAATAATTAAAGTAGGTATTAGAGGCGATTTTCATTTTACTCATTTGTATGCATAGACAATCTATGTAATTTAGATTATTATTGTCTATGGATTAACATTATTTTGTGGAAACAAAGACAAGGAAAAATAATAATTAATTGCCATCAAATTATAAATAAGGTTACAAAGTACATGACTTGAATAAAGAGATCAAGCATCTGTAATCTCCCCAAATTCAAATCTATTTGAACAACTTATTTGTAATGGTAATATTTTTTCCTTGTCTTATCTATAAATTTTAATACATTATTCATTTAACTTAACATCAAATGGTGGATCCAGCCCCGTGAAAGATCACATAGAACGGTTTACAAGGTGTAGGTAGTGATAATAAAAATAATACACACATCTAAAATGCAGTACTGAATTGCCACCCAGCAACATTACTAAGTTAAAAAATACATGTAAACATCACATTAAACATGTATAAACTATTCGAAACACTTCAATAATGCATCACAACGAGATACCCACCGCAAAAACACACACAGTACATTACAATCATTAAAATTCACACTGAAAGTTAGGTTATGATGATTCTGCATTACGTTTGTGTAAACATCTAATTTTCGTCCCACCACTTGCAAATTTTGTCGTAAGATAAATAATTGGTTTATTTACCTGAAAATCTTGATTTTGTGCATGGCAGCAAGACCGCCTTAGTTTTATGATCGTACGGGCATTTAGTGACGGAACGGTGACATGATAGGAGCAATGGTGGACGGTTTTGACGTTTCTGTGATGATGATTTCACCACCGCATAGTTTGGGGTTGCACGTTGTTGAAAAAGTACCTTTTATTTGGGGTAAATATTTTCGTTATTTTCAGGTTTCGTAAGATTAGTTTTATCTATGTTTGCTTTTTAAAACATGAATTTATTTACTTTTAGAAAACTAGGGTTGTTGTAAATGTCGTAATTTTGCTTGGTAATAGTATAGTTTGACTGTAAAAGATTTCATATTCTTAAATGACAATGAAACGAAAATAGGTAGGTACCACCACTGTTTTTTATAATGTCTAGTATTATTTCCTTACACTAATTTTTTTTTCACGGGTCATTAATCTTTATTTACAATAAACATTTTTTTTTAAACTAAGGCAAACTTAACACTAAACAAAATAAAAATATAAACTTATTTTACTCAAAAATAAAAGTGAGGCAAAGAGGCGAGGATGCTGGTTGCATTTCCTCGCTGAATGGCAATACTAAGCCTTTGTGCAAGGAAAGAGCCAGCATAATTTAGATTTTCCGAAATTTTAATTAATTTAGGGGAAATGGTCCGAAACAGTAATTTAGCATTCGGTTCCCAAGGTCCGAAGGTCTCGATACCAAAAGGCGCAAATATGATTTGTCAATTTACACTAATTGAATTATTGTTAGTACTTAACATAAAAAAGTTCTTTTACGTAAGTCTATGCGGACTAGAAAATGGGTAGGAAATTCTTTCAAGTTTTCTGTAAAATAAATATTTTTGGGTAGGTAGCCTAGCCGCAGACTACAAACTTTTGGTCGGACGATAATTGGGTCGGACTATTGATCAATTAATATTGATATGATAAGAAAGTGCGTACATTGGTACTGGCCGAGTCTTCATACAAATTGGAATCGGGCCCAACTGTAGGCCTACTAAAAGTCTGCAGTCTGTGGGGAGTCTTAAATAATTACGCCAGGGTTACCCGTTGTGAGTAAACGCGACGAAAAAATTGCCAGTGGCTTATCGATCGTTCTTTAGACTATTCTGGTAACGAACGAAAAATTACTTAGGTACTTACTTACTCACCCTTAATTGAAGCACATTATGTACGATTATTTAATTTATTTGCTTATTTTAATAGGGATATTTATAATTTTGCACACCTCAAATTAAAAGAAATATTTTTATCAAGTAAATAAGTCTGTTCTTCGAACATTTGTCACCATAATGCTAAACTGAAAGGCAATTAATTATACCCGTAAGAAGTAGGTTATCTCTAAAACATTCAAAATCATTATCTATGAGAGTTAATTCTTTTGCTGCAAGACATTTATGAATATTTATTTTCTGCGTCTGACAAACAATGAAATAGTGTGGAATGCAAATTAGCATTAATTAAATAAGGTGACCTTGTTTCACAAACAACTACCTACTGTTTAATTATTTATCGATGAGTCAATGATGGAATAAAGGAGAAAACAAAAGATGGTACGCTACCCGTCTACTTACTCATACTTGTACGAAAAGGTAGGTGACCTTAATGATGCAGGTTGCAGAAATTTTGTTTTGAAGCTTTGAACAGCCAACTGTATCATATTATTATTTGTTAATTTAATCTGTACTTCAAAACAATTTTGTGACCTAATTTGATACTAATTTTATTGGTAGTAAGATATAGGTAAGTTTTAGTTCGATGCAGTATAGTTAAGTTTTTAAGTACCTACCTTGTACCTAGTAATAAGTACATTATTACATTTTCATCAAAATAGCGCACAAGCGGCTTTTTACTTTTTTTTTCTGTCTTGACTGAAAGAAGTCATAAAAGTAATTTATTTGCTTAAAATAGGCTTTTAAGAAGCACTTTTACACGTCCAAGTATTACTTTATCACTACCGAATAAACCTATTGTATAACAGTTATTTTTTGTACGAAAAAAGAAATGAAATTAAAATTAAATTCAACATAAAATACCTACCTACCAATGTTTTTCTATTCAGATAACCTTCGCTTCTCTTTCTGAAATATTTAAAGCAAACTATCTTTGAATGAGTCGTGTCCATCATAAATAGTTGTGACAACATTGTGAATTTAATATAGTCTTGTTTACACAAGTGTCCCCGCTTGTATGGCCTAAAGTTTACACACTGGCATGAAAACTTGGAAAACGTAACACATAACTTTAGTTTGCTGTGACAAATATAGATTTAAATTGATTGTAGGTAATGGTATAATATTAATGTTTTGGGTAAAATAATAGGTACATAATATGGTCTTTGATAATAATTATAATAAATCAAGAATTTTAAAATTTTAATTGTGTTATAGTGTTTCAGACCTTTGGTGAAACCTTTGGTGAAGTCTTTCGTAAGAAAACATTTAATTTTGATAAGCGTTAAAGTGTGTTTTAATTAAAAAAAAAAAGTGTGATTTTGTTTAAGTTGACTGTTTGTTAAAGTTAGACAGCGTTGTTATATTTTGTGGGATGTTTTTTTTCTTTTAGTGGCAATACTTACACACCAAACTAAACTATTATTTGAACGTTTGTTTATTTGCGTCATTTGACGAGAATCGATACAATTTTAATCGAATGAAATAAATTTATAATTTATTATAAATCATAAATACAGCAATTCCTAGAGATACCTAGCATAACATTGTTTATTCAATAATATTAATGGCTGCACAAATATTATAGATGTAAATCAAAACCGTGTGCTAATGCAAAGTTAAACAATTTGATCAATAAAAAATCGATTATTGCATCAGTGACGTGACCGTGACAGTTCCAGTGGTTCCAGCCAGTTAAACGTTGAAATAAAAATTCATTTTTTGTCTCTCAAATTCGTTTGGTTGTTTTCTTGTCAAACAGCAAATAACAATTAATTTGGCTATTTCAACCGTAAATGTGTGAATATGTGACGCTACTATAATTAAAAATATCTACGTCTAATAACTACTGATCAATCCGGCGGCAAAGATGTCGGATTTGGACATAATGGAGATTACAGATTCTGACACAACCTGTGGTATTTGTTACGCCGAGTTCTTAGAGCCTGAGGACCTCGCAGTCCATATATCGCAAGTGCACAGCGAGAGCGCTCAATGTACACTCGTATCATGCCATTTTTGTACCGAACGCCTGTCAGATCTGGCCGAATACGCCTTACATATCCGAGACCACCATTTGCCCAATTTGAGGTGTTGTAAGTTCTGTAACCGAGTGTTTCAGGATGCCGATAAGTTCAGGAAGCACGAAAGCAAGCATTACACTTATGTACCAAAGTCTATGTACTCCTGTTCCCAGTGTAGGAAGCTTTTTAATAATACTATGGAGCTGGAGTTGCATGAAAGAAAAGACCATGCTAATGCAGAAGGCGTGTTGCTACACGATTGCTTGCCTTTACTATCCTCTCTCCTCAATATTAAAGCACTAAAATTCCTTCAATCTATAGACGATGAGGTCATCTACACCTGTGTCAACTGCACCCTTACCACGGACAACGTGAATTGCTATTTACAACATCTAAAAGCAAAGAACTGTCGGTCCCCAGTGTGCGATCGCTGTTCTTCTGTGTACCGAAACAGGAAAAACTTGACAAAACATTTAACAACTCACAAAGGTTGCTATCACAATGGACAGCCGAAGTATAAACAGTGCACGGAATGCTGCAAAATGTTCGAAATCAAGATGTGGAGTCGCCACACTAAGTTTTGTAGACCGATTAAATGCAGAACCTGCAATATTATTTACAGCACTATGAATGAACTAGCTGATCACCAGAGCAAATATCATCCGTTGACCGTTGTTCTGGAAGCGTGCAAGTACTGCCACAAAGAGTTTGCCGGAGTTAAAGCAATGGAAAAACACATGGAACGAGCTCACCAACGGGAGTTACATCTATACAAATACAAATGCGTTCACTGCGATGCAATTTTCAAACATCCACAAAAGCTGTTCGCTCATTTCAGCTCTACTCACAAAGATATAGAGCCATACACATGCAAAATATGCGACAAAAAATTCAAATTGAGGAAACGGTTTACGATTCATATAAAATTGGACCACAAAAGCATAGGATATATTGAGTTTGACGAGAATTATCATGTGTTCTTTAGCGATAAGAAATCTGAGAAACCGTTTCGGCCAATCGCTGAGTCTTTAACACAAAATGACGACTCAGTGGCGTCAGAAGAGTCTCAAGACGCGATTTGTGAAGCTCAAAATGAAGTTAAAAAGGAAGAGACAGCTGAAGTTCCTTCGAATGCTGTCAAAGAAGCAAATGAAGATATAAATTTGAACAAGGATTTCATGAGTGCAACGGAAACTGAGGGCAATCAGACAGAAGTTGAGCAGTCGGAAGAAAAAACACAAACTAGGAAGCGAAAACGGAGAACTAACGTCAAAAATGATAAAGCAGAGTCTTCCGATGATGAACCATTGCTTGAAGTAAAAAAGCGAGTGATAAAGTTGCGTAAATCGAAGCTAACCCATGCCACGTGGAACAGAAAAAAGCAGACCGAATTGAAAGTGAATAAAAAACGATTCATCTGTAACATTTGCAAGAAGTATTGCTACACTTTCCAAAATTACCACAACCATGTTGGCACTCATTACAAAAATGTCACACTAAAATGTGTGAAGTGCTCCAAAACGTTTGACAGCAAAGAGGAATTAAACAAACACTGCTCCGAAGAACATTCAACGTCTCAACTGACAGAAACGCTGAAGAGTTTACTCGAAAAACGCAAAAAGGGCCCAAATCCTGAAGGAACGACTGCTGAAAAATTTCAGCGCACAATCAAGAATGTAGACTTCCCATCAGACACTGTCAGTGTCACTCTAAAACCTGTGAATCAGAACCAGTCGGTTAAGAACTTCCTCGAGAGTTTTACCCCGGAAGACGCCCCCAAGAATACTCCTTCCATCGAAGTAGTCACAAGCATTACAATGAAGCCCTACGTTGGGGAACGTAGAGAACCCCTGATCAAAATGACCAAGTGCAACATAACCCCAATGGATTATACAGAAAAGAAGCTCAGCAT